TCACACATCAGAGAATGCATGATAACTATTGTACAATTATTCTAACAAAGTGGAACTCCAACTCAGTTATATGATACAAATTATGTTTATATGAGCTATATAAATCTAGATTAAAGCAGGTCAAAGACAAACATCTCACGAATAAGATAAGAAAGATTTACAAACCTTCCAGATAAATAAACATTTTAGTGAAGTGTGCTGTGGGATATAGGAGAAAATGTGACAACTCTTCCTCTGTTCACAGACCCCAACACCCAGATCTTGTATGCCTGTGATTCATGCGGAGATAAATTCTTGGACGCCAGCTCCCTGGCTCAGCACGTTCGCATCCACACAGCTCAAGCCTTGGTCATGTTTCAGGCAGATTCTGACTTCTACCAGTACACAGCAGCCACCACCAGTGAGGGAGACACTGCTGCCACATGGCAACCCACAACCGAGCAGGTCATTCAGGAGGGAGATCTAATCTTCCGCACAGAAGATGGAGAGAGAAAATCCGAAGAAGAGGTTGACGGAGAGACACAAGGAGCAGAGGGAGAGACACAAGCAGCACAGGGGTCAGAGGGAGTGATTTGCGCAGAGGAGGGAATGGAGGAAGGACAGGGAGAATCTCATGCTGATCAAGAGAGAGATGGAGAAAAAACAGAGGAGGAAAAAGAAGTAAACATGGAATGTGAGAGTCAGGCGTAGTGGGGCAGATTTATTCATGTGATAAACGTCACCTGTGACAGAAATCTAACCTATGCAGCGAGATAATACGAGATAATAAGCGTGCTAGTGGTCTGTTTGCTGCACCTTTCTGTTAAAAACAAGTGTTAACTGGATTCATAACATACACCCTTAGAATAATGTTATTCTTAAGATTTATTGTTCTTAAATCATGTATCTTCTGTCCCATTGACTGCACAACAACATCCAGTGATGACGATACTGAAGTGTATAGTTTGTTTATTTTTAGAGTGAAATATAAAACTATGCTTTGTCCTTCATGTAAAGCATTTAGATTTAGTCTTACCTAAATCCTGTCCAATATAATTGAGAGAAAAACTCCTATTTTTCCATTTCACTGGTCAAATAAGTACATTTTCCCAAAACAGTCAGTTTTCTTAAACGTATTGAGTGCAGATTAGCTACAGGAAGATGTAAGTGTAGCCTCTAGAAATGTAGGTAAGACATTTCAGTCGATATAAATTGTATATTTTTGTTCTTTGGTAAATATCACAGATCTTATGTATATATATATTTGTATATATATAAAAATATATTTGTCATTAAGTTTCAATACATCTTTTAAAGATGAATAGTTGACAGTGGCAAAAGATTCTTGGTCACATATTGATTTGATCCACATTGTATAATACAGTTTAGTTTGTGTATTATTCCTATTTATATTATGATCTGCAAAAAGCTTCCTTAAGTTTCTGTAAACTTGCATATTCTCCCCATGTTCTCCTGAAAAACTCATTAAAAATCCTGGTTGTCAGTTAATCTTTGTCCTGGGCGGTTATGAATATAAAGTATTTATGTACCTTATATGACTTAATAGAATCCGGGAAGGTGAAATGTAAGATGTAAATAGGTTACATGTAAATTGATCCGAGATTGGGAAACATGAACCAGTTCTTTCAACCAAATTATTGGTAGCCATGTCGCACAAATTTGCAACAACATACAAAAATATTTTGGAATAACATCATTTGCAAGATTTCCTGTCTAATGAGCTGGCAGAGTGAACAATTCAGTTAATATTGTTTGTAAATGTAATTCATGTCCTTGCCTGTCAAAATTGTCAGGCTGACAACAAAGCCTTCCTACTATTGGTGGATGTCAGTCATGGAGACGCGTTCCTCTCTCTGATTGGCTAGATCTTGGGGTCAGAGGTAACTCGACTGGCTGCTAACGCTGACGTCGACTTGTGCAGCAAAATGGCGACGTCGCCAGCAGTCGTGCAGACAAACCGGTCCGTTTCTTTATTATCACCCCCAAAACGAACCCAAATGAAAACAGCAAGGGGGTTCAGACTTCTGGACCGCAGTATGATTTTACTACTGTCGTTTGTCTCTTTGCTACACTGTGCTCTGGCTGACGGTAAGACTCTGGTGCTCCTGGACAACCTCAACATCAGAGACACCCATTCAATCTTCTTCCGCAGTCTGGCAGGTCAGTAAAAGTAGCCCTATTATTGTCATACACGTTTCTACACTTTGAAATATCATTATTTATCCTACTGTTAGCAGGTTTAAAGGGTCTATCCGGGTATAGTGAGCTACTGGAGAAGGACAGGTGGACATCCAATGCAGCTCTGCAGGCTGCTAACATTAGCTTAGCTGCATTGTGTTCCCAATGTCCTAAACATTTTTTTTATGGTTTGGATTATTTCAATGATATTTCAGCCGCTTTGTACTCCGATTTAATTCCATAAAGAAAAACTCAGCTTCACTAATTTGACTTACACTCTCTCAGTAACACTGTCCCGAAGTAATATTTGTAATGCATCATCACCTAAAAGGAGTGGAGTTTATGTAATATGAATGGTACTTACAGCCATTTATAAGGATATTTTTCAGGCTGGTGCAAAAGGTCATATAAACAATTGTATTGCTTCAACATTGCTGATATGTTGCCTGCTTATTTTTTCTTTTATAGATCGTGGCTTTGACCTGGCATTCAAGACGGCTGATGATCCTTCCCTATCTTTGATCAAATATGGGCAGTTCCTGTATGACCATCTGATCATTTTCTCCCCATCGGTTGAAGGTAAATGCCACATTTATAACTAAATATCAAAATAATACTTTGGGGCTTGTGTTTCGCTTGATGAAACTTTCTGAAAAACTAATTCTCTCTGGTAATCTTCAGATTTCGGTGGGAACATAAACGTGGAGACCATCACATCCTTCATTGATGGTGGGGGCAATGTCCTGGTTGCTGCCAGCTCAGATATTGGTCAGTTGATTTTTAGCAGATTTTTCACAATTGAAGCTACATTACATGCAAGAAAAGGGTATTGTCAATCATCTATATTTCCAATGTTACCCAGGTGACCCACTGAGGGAATTGGGCAGTGAGTGTGGCATTGAGTTTGATGAGGAGAAAACTGCTGTCATTGACCATCACAACTATGACGTGTCTGATCCCGGAGAGGTACACGTTTTTTTTTTTTTGGTCACCTTAATTTTGTTGCCATTCACATTGAATGCTAAGATCCGTCCTTTGTAATCAGATCACAACTTAATAGCAGTTCAGTCTTTACAGGCCGTCCAGACATTTCCTGGTTTTCCAATTATTGGTCTGATAGAATAGAATAAAATAAACACATTGGGCATCAGCAGGTCTACTGAACAAAAACATTTAGTCATATCATTTGTCCGGAATGAACAGGTGGCCAATTAAAACTATATCCGGTTACTATGCAATTATTTACAGGAGTATAAGTAAACTGGGTTTAGGAACGAAAGCAGAAAAAAAAAAATGATGTTACACAAATCCAATGGTAATAACTGACACTATTTTATTTTCCTCTTCTTTGTTGTCTCCAGCACACCCTGATTGTCGCAGACCCAGAGAACCTACTCAAAGCTCCTACTATTGTCGGCAAACCCACCGATAGGCCTGTTCTGTTCAAGGGTGTTGGGTAAGTAAAAATTATAGGAGAAATCCTCTTTCATTGTATCACATGAATAACCCTGAATTCAAGCAAAAGCCATGACAGTTAGTGTAAACAAATAGTTATCCATCATTTGGATGACATTACTTATGTTATGCAGGTTTTTCTTTTTCATGATTGTAAAATGGAGGAAGAGTATCATTTTGGTTTGGACATTGTCCAAAGGGAAATTTTAAAACTAATTCTAACTGTATGAACATTTCTCTTCCAGCATGGTGGCTGACCCAGAGAATCCTCTCGTCCTGGACATCCTAACTGGATCCTCTACGTCCTACTCATTTTTCCCTGACAGGCCCATCTCTCAGGTAACATCAGACTCTTAACATTGCACTCTGTTTAGATATGCTTCATAAATTAGACCTTAGTATTATTAAATTCATTTAGTTTAAATTCTGAAACTAAATACCGTATGATTAAAAGAATGTTATCTGTTGGGAGGAGATTTATACTACACTTTAAAAAAAAGAAACATTGACTTTTTTTTCCCCAAAATCAGTTAAATGTTTTTCATTTCCAGTCTTGATTTTTGAGCCATGTCTTGTTTACAAATTTACTCGGCTCTAAAATGATGCTTTCTGCCACTCTAGTACCCCCATGCCGTTGGCAAGAACACCCTGCTGATTGCAGGCCTCCAGGCCAGAAATAATGCCAGAGTGGTTTTCAGCGGCTCTATGGAATTCTTCAGCGACGCTTTCTTCAACTCGGCCGTGCAGAAGGCCAGACCAGGTTCACAGAGGTAATGCTCGCTCCTCATCTCCATACATGGGAAAAATGTACTGGAAAACCTATAATTCTGAAACTTCTGGGGAGGAAGTTGATGGCTAATATTTTTCTTTTTTTCTGAGAGCTCTCTCTCTTTTGGATGACTGCTCTTTGGCTATGTCGCATCTTCATCCTGAACACAGACATTAATGCTGTTTGAAATTGTCACCTACTTGTCGTTGGCTTCGTCAGACACGAGCAGACGGGGAACATGGAACTGGCCGTGGCTCTGTCTCGCTGGGTGTTCAAGGAGGCCGGTGTGCTCAGAGTGGGAGCTGTCACCCATCATCCTGTAGGGGAGATCACTCCACCTGCAGCATACACCGTTACTGACCTCGTGGTGAGTGCCGTAGTTACTTTACAGATGTTTTTTTAATTTATATTTATATATACGTTCTGCATCTATATTGTGTTTTGTTTTTTCTTGCAGGAGTACAGCATTGTTATCGAAATGTTGTCTGAAGGCCGCTGGGTTCCCTTTGATGGAGATGATATTCAGCTGGAGTTTGTGAGGATTGATCCCTTCGTCAGGACTTATCTCAAGAGAAATGGTATCATGTTCAGCTCTATATTAATTGCATCATTTTCCTCCCTGAATGCACTGGATTGCTGTAAGTGTTGTCTTATTTGTTTTTTGTTTTTGTTTTTACTAGGAGGCAAGTATCGTGTCCAGTTCAAGTTGCCTGATGTGTACGGAGTCTTCCAGTTCAAGGTGGACTACAACCGACTGGGATACACACATCTGTACTCCTCAACACAGGCAAGTTAGAAGTGCCTGTATTTTATTTTTCATTTCAGCAATTGCAAACATTAAGTTTTATTTACAAGGTGTAAAACAAATGTAAATTAAAAGAACAATCTTATCTTGGTCAGTTAACCTTAGAGTTCATCCACATTCATAATCTAATGGATGGTTTTCTACCACTGTCTTGCTCCTCTTTAGGTATCGGTGCGTCCTCTGCAGCACACTCAGTACGAGCGTTTCATCCCATCAGCCTTCCCGTACTACGCCAGTGCCTTCTCCATGATGGCGGGACTCTTCGTCTTCAGTGTTGTCTTCCTGCATATGAAAGAGAAGGAGAAGTCTGATTAGTTCTGGAAAAACAAGAATATGGGATTAAGTTTTGGCATGAAACGTTGATACTCAGTCGTGAACAACTAATTCTTCACCCTGGGACTTGGACTGTATCTCTTCTGTTAATAGGTGTTGCCAATCAATCAGGCCTGGAGTCAAAAGGGGCTTTGATTTCAAAGCATTTTTTTTATGTACTCTGAAATCATCTTCAAGCCCAAATGTACTAAAGTATGTCAGAAGTTTTATAAAGTTTATTTACAATTGATGATATGGTCTCTGTGGTAAAGCAGCAGGAAAATGTTAAAGCAATTATTAACATGGCAACAACATGCACTGAATATGCTGTTTTTTTCCGTTTTTTTTTTTTTTTTTTGATAAGATGGTTGTTTTCAAAAGAGCTGGAGTCCTTAATAAAACACTGACATTCCACACATCAGGGGTCTGTGTGTCTGTTACCAAGTGAAAGGTCTTTACTGCAGATTAAAAAGTGTGACCCACAATGCTATGAATTATGAAACCGTTTCTTTACCATAATTCAAATAAAAAAGCATCAACAGAAATGCTTTTTCATTTTCACAACATATCTGCATTTTCTGACTCAAATGAGTGTGCATGGTTGCAGGGCTGTCAGGATATCTTTCATTCAAGCTTTTTCACACTGAATTAAAAGAGGAAATTGGCCATATTTCAATCTAGGACTGCTTGTGAAAAATAAAAGAAGATAAAATAACTTTGGTCTCGGTCCATGTAGTAGGAAGATTTTAAATAAAAGAAAGTTTAAGGGAGGAACATGGAGTTTTGCACTTGAAGCCGAATTTATCAGTTCATAATAATTTAAAAAATGCCTCAGTATGGTTATTTTGTAAATTATATTTGTTCAAAGCAAAGAGGAAAATGACATAAATGTCATTTTTTGAACGGCATTCAGTCCAGACATGTTGAGGGTAGCCTGGTGACGTAATCCGTTGTATTGGTTGGCTTTCAGTTGAAATCTTTAGGAGGTATAGCTACTTAGCATCCCTGGATCAATGAACTTCTAATACGCAAATGGAAATCTTGAAGTGCTTTACAGTTGGCTGCCGGGGTAACTGAAATAAGATAAACAAGCTTGATATGTAATAGTTTCTTTATTTGGGCTCAAAAACTTGTTGGTTAACCTTAGTATAGCGTTTATTGTGCGGCGCCTTTAGCTAACGCAACGACAATATTTGGCTAACTCGGGATATTACTGACATTCATATTTTGGCGCGGTAACACAATGTTCGTGAATTAGCAGGGCATTCAAATCCAGTTTTCACCACTGAGAACCAAAGCTGTCATTATTCTGAAACCCAGTCGCAGTGGAAGGCATGTTAGCCAGCTAATGCGGGCGGAGTTAGCGTTAGCAAAAAAAGAGCATTGCTTTGGGAAAGTCAGCTGACAGGGCGCTGTAGGCAGCCAGCACACCAGTGATGGATCAACTCAAAGTGAAGGATCGGATATTGGAAAACATCTCCCTGTCCGTCAAGAAGGTAAGATCTGCTGTGTCGGAAAGGACAGGTTGTTGATTTCAAACACGTTAGATGTTGTTTTCCACATGTTTGATTCATTGTAGCGACCATTAGGTCATCTTCTGTCTGGGAATGAGGGCAACTTTGAAGTCGGGAGGACAAGCAGCTCGCAGTCATGGAGGGGCCTTGCCCTTGCTGATATTAGCTTATCAAATCTCTCTAATGGATTATTGGTAGTTTGGGTTTTTGCAGGTCAAGCTTTCAGGGCAGAGTTGTTGTTTATTTAGTGTTTTGGCCACATTGAGCTGCTGTAGCTCGAAGCCTATGTGTTGTCACACTGCGGCATGTGTTGTAAACACACCTCCAGTCAGACATCAGAGAGATCTGCAGCATAAGGTTTAGCCTACAAATACATACTACTACCTTTTAAATACAAGAATTGTAATCTACAGCTTGTGTCCAGCTATGGTGGGTGTTGCAAAAGTCCCCCCTCAGTAACTTACCAAACAGTTTAAAGTTTTGCATCTCCCTGAAAGTTTTTACTTTCATTTTTCAAAAACTTTATACAAAAGATTTGATTTGATTTAGTCTCTTTCAATTATTTCCCCTTCTAACTTTATTGATGATTAGGGAGATTATGTCTAAAATCCTATTCTATCTTTTAGCAGCTTTATTAGCACGTTTCTTCATCTTTCTTGACCTGCTTATTTTTCCTTGTGTAATAGCAACATGAGGTGTTTGTGAACTGTTGTGCCTAAAGCCTCAAAGTGAGTGTACAGTATTTACCTCAGGCAAACATCACTTGATCGTGCAGGGATGGTCATACGATGTAAATAAAGTCTCTCTGGGAAACGTTCTTAACTTAAATTTGTTTTGTTCATGCTTTGGGAGTTTCAGTGCTGCCTATGGTTAAGTTTATGTTACTTTGTGTGTATGTCAGTAGAAATGTGTATTTTAAAAAGATACATTGAGTTTTGCTTTCTGTGGCAGCACATTTGATGTGTAATAAAATAGTAACAACAGCAATAGGAAAAGGGCACGTCACCTCCACATAGCACTCACTGTCCCCACTTGTGAGGACCAGAAATACTTGCATATAAACCACTTTTTATCTTTCCGGATGACGCTCTGTCAGATTTGTGCTACAGATATTTTCAACAAGTGCTTGTTTAGTTTTGTTTTCATGAGGCACATACCTCTCAGGACTTGGCGCTGGTCACAGCTTTATTATCCATTAAGAACATTGAACAACAGCTCTTGGCCCTTAATACCTTCGTTGTTCAAATATTTCTATACAATTGCATTATTGTCCTGCTGCACTGTCTTAGAACTTGTTTACAAAGTATTCTCATTAATATACGCCGAGACTTATATGATGCCATCTGACATTTTTGTAACCCTATAACCACTTTTATGTCATTCAAATTCAGTTAGCTGTTTTATTGAGTTATGCTAGGATTACTGCAGGTGAGCTTTTCTGTATAGTTTTGTACGATCTTCCTTTAATTTACCCTGAGAGTGGATGAACTGCAAAGCTAACGGAGAGAGCTGTGTGTCCATGCAGTTACAGAGCTACTTCGCAGCCTGTGAGGATGAAACCCCAGCTATCCGAAATCATGACCGGGTGCTTCAGCGTCTCTGTGAGCATCTGGACCACGCTCTGCTGTACGGGTAAGTGGTGTTTTCAGGAGAAAATTATATGAATGAGGTCTCGATTTGAGTAATTAAAGAGGCATAGATGGTATAAACAGAAAGAAAGAGAGAGCAGTGAAACTCTCATTTATTTTGGTAATATGTGTGCGAGTGCACAATGGAGAAACACTGTGCCCCTGTTCACAAGCTCACAACTATCCCGTCATAATAGAAAAAAAGTTGAAATATTTTTTTGTTGTTGTGGTTATTTGTCTCTTATTGATTTTTATAAAATAAATAAATAAATGGAACACACAGCAGAGCCTGGCCTTATTTAGGCTGTCAGGAAGGATATTGAGGTTTTGTTGAGGCTCTTCTCAAACGTTCACATTGACTTTGAGTGTAAGTTTGGTTTGCTATCATCTGGGGAATTGTTATGCTTCTGTAATTAACTTTAGAGCAGTGTCTGACTTGCTCTCTTTGGAAAGCGCTGTGAGATAACTGTTGTTTTGATGTGGCATTCAATATATAAAATTGAATTGAATTGAATTGAATCATCTCACCCCCCCCTGATGTGTTCAACTTCATCCATATGATTATTTTAGGCTGCAGGACATCTCCTCTGGCTACTGGGTCCTGGTCCTTCACTTTACCAGGAGAGAAGCTGTTCGACAGATAGATGAACTGCAGCACATAGCAACAAACCTCGGTCGAAGTGAGACACCTTTCCTGCAAAGTCAAACAAACTTTACAGAAAGTCAAGCATTATGTACTACACGGTGGGCCACGTGCGAGAAAAAGAGCTCTTCTCTGTTCTTTGCAGGCCGTGCCTGGCTTTACCTGGCATTAAGTGAGAGCTCTTTGGAGAGCTATCTGCGCCTCTTTCAGGAGAACCAAGGACTGCTGCAAAAGTATTACTTCAAGTACGTGCATTTTGTTATTGAACTTTGGAATTGAATGTAAAAGATTCTGATATATTCCTTTGGGAGTATTCAAACACTGCTCGCATGCTGTGGGGGGTTACCGTTAACTGGTGTGCTTCACCGGTAGGAACGCTCTGGTCTGCAGTCACGATCACCTCACGCTCTTTCTCACGCTGGTGTCTGGCCTGGAGTTCATTCGATTTGATCTGGAGCTGGTAAACCTTTGCTATAAGATCAACAGAAATGAGCCACTGAGTGTTAGCGGCGTGTCTAAAGCGTGTCGTGCTGGGTCCTGCTGCTTCAGGATGTGCCCTATCTGGACGTGGCCCCCTACATGCCCGAATACTACAAACCGCACAACCTGCTGGACTTTGAGGAAAGGCTTCCCAGTTCAGACAGCCTCTCCCTGCACTCCTTCACCTCCCTCACTTCCACCAACCTGGAGTGGGACGACAGTGCCATAGCACCCTCCAGCGAAGGTAAGACGGACCGGTTGTTCTCTTTACCAGTTAATCCATAACTCAATCTACATGAGTTCCAGTCCTCATTTTGCCAAAAGAGACTCTAGAACTGAAACACAGACTCTGGTTTTACAATCACCTGGATCAAAGTGCGACTGAATCTCAGTATTATATCCCAGTCACTGATTTTCCTATTTAAACAGCCCCATCAAATTTAGAGTGTCACTTTTATGTGCGACTGTGTCTTGACACAGCTGTAATGTGGCACATTATGATATGATCAGGAAGGTTTTAGCAGAAAATCCATACATTGATCCTAAACTAATGGCATGGCAAAGTAGTTAGTTGGATTCTTGTAAATCTTATGACTCACACACACTAAAGGGCACTTTTATTAAATGAATTACTTGGCGAGCAGAGATGGATGAAAGAACCACGAAGGGCTTGCAGCATTCAGGCGGCGCTTTCCCCATCACTCCCCACAGACTATTGAGCCAGTTCCTTGTTTTAGTTCCCATTTTGCTATCGTCCCACATTGATTTCTCTCATTGTTAAAGCATATTCCATATGTCATGTTGTTTTAATGTTTCTGTGCCATTGACTCAGTCTCCTCTCTCCTGTCTTCCCTTCACCACTCTCTAATGTTGAATGTTGTCCCTCCTTTTTTTAGATTATGATTTTGGTGACATCTTCCCCGTGTTGCAGTCATTGCCAAGTGCAGACTGGGAAGGTGGGACATTGGTCAACCCTCCCCCTCCTGCCCTTTCATACCATGTTCTCTCCTTCCCTCTTGTCTAGCATGACCGCCCCGCAGCCTGTGCTTAATGCATGCTGGGTGCTTTAAACTGTAAAACAGCAAACTGTACTGATGCACAATATTGTATCTGAAATGACAAAAAAAAGTTGGGACAATGGGACAAAGGGAACCTGATCTTTTGGAACTAGGATTTTGGTTTGAATTTACGTTTTGGTGACTATGACTAATGTTTTTTGTGAATGCATGACCTTTTTAAAAGCAGTTATGTAAGACCATTTAAGTTGCAATTGACTTGTTTCTCTGTCATTTCTATTAGATGAACATCATTGAGGTATCAGTTAATTTTACCTGTAGGAAGCAGATTTCTAAGAAGCTGTAATGGCATAGTTGCCAAATGTTTGTTAGTTTATAAGGTTTATTTATTCAATTTACAAACAACACGTCATACGCATTAAGCTGAGTGGTAAGTTTGGTTCAATGGGGGGTTCGTTGTTGGAGTGTCTTTAATGTTCTGCATGTGTTACTCATCTGGGCAACGGTTGAAATGCTTCCTCTGCCTTATTATTCAGCACAGCCGTACAAATGCCTGAAGCAGCTGGTACTCACCTCGTCAAATCTTGTCCTTATTGTGCTGCGTGTCTGTTTGCGTAGCACTGTTGTGTAGTGTGTGATGCGCTGCACTGGCCTAGGTTCAGCTTAAATGTTGTGCGAGTTAACAGTCAACACAATTTGCTAATTCAACTGCAGATTAACTTAAATCTTATTTTCATAATGATGTTGAAAACACATAAACTTTATTTTACAACTTGGTGTAGCCACTGATTTCATGGTGTAACCGTAGTTCAGAATAAATTTCCAGTGATTTTAGTTTATTCAAACACCAACTGTTTGGGAAAAACAATAAATGACTAGAGCATCATGAGGAAGATGATTAAACGTAGCTTTAATCTTTGATTCATTACCTCTATAGGCCGTGGTGGGAATGCTGGACCTGGGTCGGTGTCTCTGCCAGAACAAAAAAGCTGCCTGTGTACCTGTTTGATGCCTTTCTTATTCTTTGTTTTTTTGTGCCTCTTTGACATTGCCAAAGACATTCAAAGAATACTGCGATCACTAACACCAACTGTGCTGCACTAATGAAGGAATACACAGTATTTTTAGTTTGCGTGCTTGGTTGGACATAAATAAAGTATAAAGTTAGATGATATAGAAACAACTGTTAAATATTTCTTGAAAAAGAAAGCGTACTTTCTGTTTTTCGGTCAACTTACCAAAAAGAGTGCAGAAAAATCTGTGTATTGCTTTATTTCTGTAGAAGGAAGCTTCATTGCGTGTGGTGTTCGTCTTAACTTGGTGTTTGTGTGTTCTTTTTCCTTGCAGAGGGGGACTTGACCGATCAGGCCAGCTGCCCGCGGTCCAGCGGCTCTGATCCGCAGACGGTCATCAGTGACACCGTCGCACAGTGTGCCGCAGCGAAAGGCAAGACAGCCAATCACATTTCTCCACACAGCCCCACATTCAGACACAACCCCTTCAACGAGGATTCGGACACAAACACCTCAGTGGACGTCACCCCCGTCCACGTGGCCAGCCGTCACAGTTCCGCCACCTTTGGAGACGAGACGGAGAACTACAGCAATGAGCTCGAGGTCATCAGGTACAGCGGCTGAAGCCTTGTGGCGGAATGATCGCTTCCCTTTGGTGCTTAGAAACACAACTAACCCATCTGTTATTTCAGGATGGCCAAACGAAGGAAACCGGCCAAGAAGAGACGTGGGAAGGGATCCACAGACTCCAGCAGCAGCATCCATAACTCCGTCTCCTCAGAGCACACGGAGGGCGACTACAGCACCCTAACCTCAGACGACGTGGACTCAATGAATCACACTTTAGTGCAGATGGATGGAGAAACAGAACTCAGAAGAAGCAAGGCTGGATCAGAGGTCGGGGACGAGGGAGGCGAGGAAGAGGCAGAAGGCCTCTTACGGCTGCCAGAGATGGCCGACACCTCCATGAATAGCGTCGGCCAGCCTCTCCGTGACGTGATGGACCGGCTCAATGGCACCTGGGAGCACTCAGAAGAGGATGCGGGAGAAAAGAGTAAAGGAGGCCGTGATCAGGCCTCGGAGCCTCCCACGCAGCAGCCCTTTCGACCGGACTCAGGGGGCAGGCCACCTGACCCAGCTCCAGGAGAGATGTCTGGCTTCACTCTGGCCGAGAGCTCCAACCACCTGCAGGCCGCTCCTGTTTCCACAGACTTACGCTGCGTTACCCCTGGCAGTCCAGGCTCTGCTGGCACAAGTGGTGGCCACAATGACTCTACAGAGCAGGGTCAGTCACAGACTCTTTCAAGTAGCCTTGAAGATGAAGGAGAGGCAGAAGCGCCATCAGGACAGAAGCCCAACGTGAAGGAAGAGGAAGCACACACAATAGCGGTGACAGCCGAAGAAGCTCAACCACAAGAGGAGAGGCTAAGTCCCTCTGAAAACTCCCATCCGGCAGAGTTTAAGTGAGGAGCTGAAACTCAATGAGCTGGTGTAATGTCGTTCAATGTGGGTCTAATGCTCTCCATCGTTCATTTTTTTCATTTTTCAGGGTGGACAATAATCACTTACTTCTTCTAATGATTCATGTGTTCAGAGAGAATGAGGAGCAGCTTTTCAAGGTGAGGACCCAGAAAGTATACAATTAGCATTTTTTCATGTATGCAAAGAGTATAGCATCAAAAATTACATAGGATAAAAAGAAATGAAACACGGAATTGGTGTTCTTTAAACCAGTTGGTGACGGTTTTAGTATTGTCAAGATAAGATATAATTAGATAAGTGGTTTACAGTCGGTTTTTCAGTGGAAATGTTGCAAGGTTCAGTTTCTCGGTTGCCTCTTTCTTCCTTTTTCTTCCTTGTTAATGTCTTCACATCTACTTGAGGCGTTGTTGCATTTTAAAACGAGCTTTCAAATAAATTTTTTTAATCAATCACAAAGCATGACATCTTCAAAAAGCAAATCACTTTAGGGCACCTTTTAACAGTCTTACAGTATGTTGCCACACAAAAACATTTAATTAGTTGTGGAAAAAAACTTATTGTTTTTTTTTTTAGACCCATTTCATATATATTTTCAGATGGTGAGGATGAGCACAGGCCACATGGAGGGAGACCTTCAGCCTCTATATCTGCTGCTGACTGACTGTTACATTTACCTACTAAGAAAGGGTAAGTGGCTAAAAGCCAGCATGTTTGGCTTTGTCAGGTAATGAAGGACTGCACAGCGCATTCCTATCTACTATAATTCGTCAATCTTATGATGTCGGTCGTATAAGAGAAAAAGTAATTAACACTAGTTACTTGTATTTCTTTTTATTTTGCATTTGTTCGTAGGTGCAGCAGAAAAGCCATACACTGTAGAAGACGCTGTTTCTTATAATGAGCTGGACTATCTTTCGGTAAGGTTCCCCTATTACAGTAGTTGGCCTGTTTTTTGCTTGAAGTACATGCATGCTTAGTTGTATAAAGGATCTGCTTAAGATTCTTCAAGGTTGAGCCTTGAGTCAGCTTACAGTGTGATTTATGTGCCGTTAACTATAGGAATTACAGATAATGGCCAATCAGTCATTACCAGGATGTGATCGCTGTGATGATGGGATGCAGGGTGTCCATTAAATTAGGGATACATTTGTTTTCTAACAGGTGGGACTTGACCAACAAACAGTGACACTGGTTTGTACAAACAGACGAAGAAAGTTCCTGTTGGACACAGCTGATACTTCCCTGACTTTGTGAGTGTAACTTTATATTTGAGTTTCATTTAAGATTTCCATTAGTCTCCTTGTTCATTAAGACATAATGCATGTAGTTTTAATCTGTTTTTATTTAAAGTCTTAAATGTTACGAATCAAAAGGTATGCATCGGTCTGAGGACTTAAACCAACACTTTTGGCTAATTCATAACCAGAATAGGTGTTTGAAATGGATTATCTATTCAGTGTTAGCTGAGGAAAAAGGGGAACAAGGTTTTGTTTTTGTCTTTTTAGAACTATAAAGGTCACAGGGTTAATTGGACCGTTGTTTTTCTCCTGACCTTAATGTTCTCCCATTTCTGTAGATGGTTCCTGTCTGTCCTTAAGTCAGCTATGGTTCATGGTTGTCGTGAGCCTCCTTATCCCTCTGTTCTGACTGACGCCACCATGGAAAAGCTTGCTCTCACTAAGTTTGTCTCCCAGGAGTCGCAGTGTGAGGTAGGGTAATGGAACTCATTTGGACTCTTATAGCTTTAGCTCATTGGTCCGGTCTTCAGAAGATAACCTAACATTGAAATTTTAATGACATTGACACACAACAATATGAACTCAGTAAGCCAAAGCGCTAATATTAATCTGTTGATTCTGTCTCAGCCCTGTAGTACCAAATGTCCTAAATGTTGTTGTTTTAAATCCATAAAGAAATAGTTGCTTTTGCCTTGGTATCTTAGGAATGCCTAAATCCTGTTCTGTACAGGTGTCCGAAGTGCACATCCAACTCTATTCACTGGTTCACTGGGAGGATCCTATGGACATGACTTTGTCTCCACAAGGTGGTACCCCAACCTCTGGGGCGCCGGCCAGCACAAAAGAAGGGATTCTACAGTATAGGTCTGGAACCACATACCTGGGTAAAGAGCACTGGAAAAGCTGCTACCTTGTTCTCAGGTACGAGCTGGCATACACACCAGCATTTTTTAAATTTGTTTTATTTTTGATATTTTTACGATGCATGCGTTTTATGACTGAATTACCTTAAATGTTTTTTCTCTCTTTCTTCTCTTGCAGTAATGGGATTCTGTACCTGTATTCAGAAAGAACAGACGTGACACCTCTGCTGTCCGTCACAATGGGGTAAGCTTTACCCAGCTGTCAGCTGAAACTTCAGATAATGAACAGATTTGAAGCCTTTTTAGTTTGAAAACACACAAACTGGAAAAAAAAATGTTACTGGCTGTAATTGTTTTTGACCTTTTTGTGGGACTTAATCTGTTAACAGAGGAGAGCACTGTGGAGGCTGCCGTCGCTCAAACGGCACAGAGCGTCCGCACGCCTTCCAGGTCATCCTGACAGAGCGCCCCCCGCTGGTGCTCAGTGCCAACGATGAGCAGGACATGGCGGACTGGATGCAGCTGCTCTGCCAGTCTGTTTCCAAAGGGGTAAGGAGAGAGAAAAAAGCTACATACAAACCATGTATTTTTGGTTTTGCATTTCATTTTAGACCATAGATTCTCATGGAATGAATGCATGATTATAAGTCTCATACAACTTCTTTAGCAATGCATGCTAGGTTTATACATCATTTTCTTCAAAAGCAATTTGATATGTGATATTGAAATAAAATTTTGAAAAGGCTTCCAAATGAGGACAAATATAATGACGCTCTAACCACTTTACCTCCAGGTCATTCCTCAGGGTGTCGCCCCCACCCCATGCATCCCATGCTGCCTTGTGGTGACAGACAAGAAGCTGCTAACTTGCCATCAGGACTGTCAGACGAGCTTTTTCCGCTCACTGGGAGGCGCTGATATCAGTGATGTCACCACCGTCAGCATGGAGCCCGACAAAGAGTACTGTGTTATTGTAAGTGTTAAGCTGGTCTGTGCCTCCATTTCAGAACAAAAAGAAGAAGAAGGAGTTATATTCAACAAAGATCCAGAAATATTGGATGACTATCGTCAACAGATGGTTTATACTGACTTTTGAAGTTTTTATTTCAATTCCTGCAGACAATTAAATGTGATTTAATCTGTGACAGCTGATATAATCTGCAGCCAGCAACAACCATCATTCCAATAAAGAAAACTGACACAAAGTAAAAGATTACTAAATGCTACAGGAATGCTTGTGCACATGTGCTAAGAGTTAGCAAAGATAGGGTAGCAGAAATAGGCTCCATGGATGCCAAATTTGTTTTAAACATATTAACCAATCAGAAAAGTACACTTTTTGTCTTCTAAAACATTTCTGAACAGAACACTAAAGTTTGGGTTTAATGGAACAACTGGAACTTGCTTTGTTAACAATACCTATCAACATGAACATTTGAATATGCTATGTACATGAGTTATGTCAGAGCTTGAGTGATTTTTGCTTGAGTGAGGTGTTGTGACCCATTGATGTAAGCTGCACTTTATCTTTATTGAATCTTCTCTCTGTGTCGTAGGAGTTTACAGCAGATCGGACCCAGTTCCTCCCACCTTGGGTCTTGTACTTCAGTGGGTGTGAAGAGAGAGATCGACTTTTGCAAGAATTAGACAGCATGTGGAAAGCCATTTTCCAGGTCAGGAGATCATTTTAGCTTGTGGAAATGTGGTTATGCTAGGACAATATATGCCCCAGAATAACAGCAGATCAAATCCTGATGAATGCTCTCTTCTTACTCAGGTGGACCTTCCCCACAGAGAAGTGTGTGATCCGTTGGTGCAGAAGCGCTGTGGCGACGCCCTGGAGCTGATGAAGAGAGCCTGGCAGAGAGCGGACAGTCTGGCCCGAGGCAGAGCTCAGCGGGAACCGTGGTGCTGACCCACACAACGATACATCCACACACTTACGTGCGTGCGTGTTCCCACTGAGAAAAGAACGATAGCAAAACATCTGACAGCGACTCAGTTCGGTGCGTCAGAAAGAATGTCGGGTGTGACGGTTTGTACTTTTCCAATTAGATGATTAACTGATCAGCTATGTGATGCAATGGGCCGCAGATGAAGAGAGGTTTTTATCCCAGAAGTCGCCACACGTGTGGAATGCAATTCTACTGAACAGAAGCATAGTGAACAAATCTACTAAAACATCGAAGTTGATGGTCACATGACTAACCACTGTCGTATGAGTGTAAATCCGACTGGAGATGTTAAATAATGTTACATGACGTCATTCAGTACAATGAAGATGAGGAAGTGTGGAGCTAGGCAGGAGCTTTGTTACTCAGCGAAAAGTCTCTGTTATCGTATAAACGTGGATAAGCTCACCTCCCTACTTTATCCATGAAGAAAAATCACCAACATTTGCTGCTGGTACAAACATACGAGGCCGTACAGTTTCTGTGCATAATCGCCGACAGTTGTGCGTGTCGAATATTAAGTCTTTTCAAAGGGCACAAACCTCTACAGCGGATTATTGTCACCTACACACTGTACAGTGACTTGTGAGAATGAGGACTTGAAGTATGTCTGAATGTTTTGCACAAGCACTCCAGGTAACATGCGTACATCTGTAATGTCCATCTAAATTTTGCTTTATTTACTTGTCACTGAGACAGAAGGACTACATCAGCGAGTGACACGCACTTGCCTTTTTTCCACTTTGTTGATGCAAATGGATTCTTCCATGTAGACATGCACTTTTTTTGGCTGTTAAATCTTTTTTTTTTTTATCGGTACTGGTTGTGGTTGTAAGTTAAAAATTTCCTTTTTGTTTTCTTCCTGGAGTAGTGGGAACACTTGCAGATGTTTACCTTGTCTAAAGCGTGGGAAACTCATCTATATGGAGGAATTTTTGCACAGTCTCTCACAAAGTGATTTATTTGCATGTTGTCTGAGCTTCTCATTCGTTTGTATTCCAGCAGTGGTCAGTGGCATGACTCTGTAGAATAACACATCTGTGTATGACTATCTCTCAAGTTCACAAATCCCTTCAGTTCTTGCTCACACAAGGCCATTTAACTAAATGCTTATTGTATCTTCCAGTATTAAAGCTTGGAATGAAAGAAAAATTACAATGCAAGACCCGAAATTCTATCTTTTTTAATTCCATCAAAATTGACAGTAGCATGTGCAACAATCTGTTGATTACATTAACCTTGAATAGAATACTGCTGCCTGTTAAAGTGGCAGTGTCAGACTGCTCTTAAAGTGCAGTATGAACTTTCTTTTGCAACTAAAAAGTGGCCTTTTTCAGCTGAAATAGATGGATTTAGCCAACGTGTTTCATCTAACTGAAGCATTTGTTTCAATTTTGAGTTGATGCCTCGATCTACAATTTCAACTCTTAAACAATCTTTTTTTTTGTGGCTCTAGTTTCCTTTGAGTGAGTTTCCAGTGCATGTACCGAATGAAGGGCTGCATATGAACGTTTTATATTTCCAGCACAGCCTTAAAAGAGTTTCCTAAAAGATGCTGCTTTTTAGGCAAAATAACAAACAATGGATGTGCTTTTTTAAAGATTTTTTTTCTTTTTACCAAAAAACTTAAATTGAAAATGCACTGTATCAAAAATGCCACCCAGCCATAAACATATGTATGTCTGTGTAGATAATGATACTGTGTTGTTCTCGTTTTAGCATTAATCAGTGCTTTAAACCTTTCAAAGTGCCACTTCGTCCCACACATCCGTGCTCTTTTACAATAAAACTCTCTCAGGTGAAAAAGGTTCCAAAACCTCAAAAGTCACCGTGTGTGTGTTAGCATATACTTTGTAGTTTCACAGTAGTTTTGTTCAGTACAGTATTTTTAAAGGCCCTTTTATATTCTTTGTCAGTTGCAATGCTCAATCCAGCATTATGACATTATTTTGCACACTCAGAGAGGGTTAGAGATTGAAGGACATGGTTTGAAAAGGTTTTATGCCAGATGACCTTTAATAATTCACTAGGTTCCTAAGTAGGCTGTATAGATTAAATCCTTTTAGCCGCAGAATTCCTGCAGGCTTAGTGAGAGTTCGGGATTCGGGAGAATATTTGTTTGACTTACTTGAAATGTTTGTTGGACTATCATTGAAAGTGTGCTGTTCTCAGAGCTGTGGCCTATAAATTGTAGATAAAGAAAAAATCAAAGTTGGTCTTTGTGAACATCGGTTAAAATTTGGGACATTGCTGGACAATGATGGACGCCATCTTTTTAATGTGGGAAAAAAATGCTCTCCGATTTGGTTCACACATGTGTTCTGCGTGGGATATTTGTAACATGTTAAATAGTTTTATGAAGATGTAAATAAAGCACTAATCATCCATAACAATCTTTAAATCCCCACAAGAAGACCTGCATGTCCACAGGGTTTTATACTGTTCATAATGGAATGAATGTACAAACAAACCTTTGTAAAAATGGACTGCGTAACCAAATAAATATAAATGAAAGTTTTTGCTCCTCTGGTAGAACATTTTGTGATTCAAATATCTGTATGTGATTATGTATCCTTAGAACTATCTCTGAGATTTTTTAATATACATTTCCACCCCATGATCCAACCCTCAACTCCAACATGTAACTATCCAGCCACAGATAGTTAAATTATATTTGTAGTTGCCAGGGCAACAGGTTCCCACTGCTCTTGTTCAGGTTCTTATTAAGATAGAAACATGGTTTACTTGTGCTTTCAACAAACCATTTCTTGTTTTTGCCGTCAGTGTTGTATGAGTGTTGTATGGATTGGATTGGATTGGATTGGATTTGGCCCCGAGCACGTCCCACTGGGACGAGGCCCAGAGGAAGACCCAGGACACTCTGGAGGGACAATGTCCCTCGGCTGGCCAGGGACTGCCCTGGGATCCCCCTGGAGGAACCGGCTGGAGTGGCCGGGGAGAGGGAAGTCTGGGCCTCTCTGTTTAAGATACTGCCCCCGCGACCCGACCCCAAATAAGAAAATGAATGGATCTATGGAAAGTGCAAATATAATTTGAAGTCGGTGTATAACATGACTTCAAATTCCCCTCAACAAAATGACTAAGAAAATCAGGTTTTACAGAGAAGGTGGTTATCAGTGGAAATAGTTTACCAAAAATGTTGAAGCCAACGTGAAGCTGTGGTCCTAATACAAAAAAACGTCAGCTTTCAGTCAAAACAAGCTAAATGATGTTAGTTGGACTTAGCAACTGCTAGACAGTTCAGATACTTTACAATAGCTGGACATTATGGGGAGAAGATTGACTTCTGACAGCACAGAGGAGTTATCTTTCCGATGTGTTGGCCTTAGCTTGGATCAGTAACAAGTAGTAGGGACTTACTAAGTCTAGAAAAAGAAAAAAGCGGAAACAGTATGTGTAAAAATGTGAACAGTCAGTATCTAATTTTCCCAGGCAACATTTCTATTTGCTCTTCATTGACAAGTCTGAGATAATCCTGATGACATCATGCATGGATGGTTTACTCTTCCTGCACATCATACTAGTATACATCTGTTTGGACTGCTGCAATGCAGGGAACTAAGTGCGAGGTGTGGTGTCGTCTATAAAATGGATGCCTTTTAAAAGCTGTTGAATCAGAAGATTGTTGGATTATAAATCTAATTAACCCTAAGGCTCGTGCAGATTGAATCTGGTGACTGTGGGAAGTACAGACAAGTGAAGGGTGGAGCTTTTCTGTGATGCTGTAAATAATTCATGCAAATTTTCTGCAGCTTACATAATTAACTAGTGAGCAAAGCTTGCCTGGAAGAGAGAATAAACATTCAAATCAACATGTTTTCTCCCACATGTGATACGTCCCACATAATTGTGCTTGGATTTCTTCCCTGGACAATTGCATCTTATCATGTGGAAATGGGCAATATGTATTTCCCCTGATGTGGTTAAGTTCCTGCACGCGTTCTACAGTCATTACGGTATTTTGCTGCTAATGCAGTGGAGGCAAAGAGGGTGAGAGATACAGAGATAAAGAAGAGAAGGAGGAGGACAGGGGGAGCGCAGACTGCTGCAAACCTCCACTTTAGCAGCAGCCTCGCAACAGAAAAGGCTCAAAACTGTATCAGCAGTCGCTTCTCTTTTTCGTCCGTCTAAAAGTAGCATCTACTCATGAATTGATTTAAAAGAAAAAGAGCAGATTGTTATACGCCGTACAATTTCACATGAATTATTAGTGTTCTGTCCTCCTTTCACCATCATGTTGAGAAAGAGCTCAGAGCTGCCGAAGGGGGACAGAGAGGGGCTTCTGGATGTGGACAATAGGGAAGAAACACAAGCCACAGACGGCTATGGCAGTCTGCAGAATGGGGCATATATCCCACCACGATATGTAAGTACCATTCTATTTCATCATCCTTTAATGCAGCCTTGTGTTATTGTCTCAAATCAAATGAATAAAAAAAGCTGCACATCGAATGAATTACTCAAAAAACCCAAACCCCCACTTCTTCTATCAAACATGACTGATCAGACACACAGAGCCAAGTTTATTCCACACGTCCACCTGAGGAAACACTAATAATGACTCAAACTTCCCTGTACTCAGAGCTTGTTTTCCATTGTAGCTCAGCAATCATTTTCTGTCTCATATTTCTGTGCTCATTACTGTAAAGTGGAGGCTCTTAACATGGAGTGGGCTGCTCTAGAGTTTACAGTTGAACCACGCCAAAAGGCAATTAACTCTAACTTTAAATGCACATTGAACGTTTTTTTTGCCGAGAAATAATAGAAAAAACTACTTTAACTTGTTTCTTAGATGTTTTTGACAGGTTTTCGTCGATAGATCATTTTGCTGATGTCTTCAGTTTTCAGCTGCTGTTGCCAGTGAAGGTCTGGATGGTGATGATCCATTTCATGTTCAATATAATACAACAACCAATCCAACAGTTCCACAGCTGGGGAACTACTTCAGAGATGGGAAGACTAAAATTGGTAATAGCATCATTTACCTCGATAGGGTCTTGATTGTCACAATCTAACTGATGGATGGAAAAGTCAGCGTTTCATTTAACTGTTAAGGATTTTGTTCTGGGTTTAGATTTTGTTCTGGCATGGGAAGTTCGCTCGAGGAGGAAGCAGCGAGGGAGGGGGAAAAGTGAGCAGGGAGAACCCGCTCCCATCGACGAGAACAGCAGATCTGAGCGTAGAAAAGCCCAGCTCGCACAGTGGAGGGAGAAGTTTGTCCAGAATCTGCAAAGTGCAGGGCTGCTCATGGAAAAGGTGCTTAAAGTTTCCTCTAGGAAAATATAATCAAGAACTTCATACAATATCACAGAAGTACTAACTCTGTTTCTGTTGTGTCCTTGGTCTTTAGGAGGAAACAGCTAATGAGAAGAAAACAATACATTTTCTTAAACTCAGTGTTCCCTGGGATGTGTTGGTGTATTATGCTGAGGAACTTTCCCTCAGAGCTCCTCTACAGGTCAGCATTGCTGTTGATACTCAAACACTGATTCAAAATGTTAACACTTTAAATGTTTTTTATTTAGCTTAACTTTTAAAACTAATTATGAATAGACCACACTGTTAAGCATTTCAACTTTTTACATATTCTCCAATCACAAGGCATGGTTGAAGTTGGAGGAGAGATCCATATTGTTATCTGCAAGTATTTAAGTATTTGCACCGATAAATGGAAGTGAAAAAATCTCTCTCCCTCTAATTTGGAATAAGATGCTAACATGATAATTAATAATGAATGTCAACTTTGATTTAACAATTTCTCATCCCAACCTGAACCTTAAAGAGGCTGTTAGCTTGTTCTTTCCTTTGCAAGTCTTAGCCCAAATGTTTTACGTATTTTACTTTACTTTTGGCTTTAAATTTTAATCTATGCTGTAATTATATGACAAAACATGAGCAAACTCTTTTTTTATTTCGGTCCCTCACATTGCTAGTAAATGTTTTCCTTGCTAAAACACAATAAAAAGATGACCGACATTGGGAAACAGAACATCTAATAGTGGTCAAACTGTCTAACATGTTGGGACAAAATGATACACTGGCAGTACCAGTAATCTTTGACTTCTCCACAACTAAACTAAAAATGTCTTAGTGTTTACGAAGATGTGTGTATGTGTCCCAGGCACAGCCACATCTGGACTTGAACACATCTGCTCTGGTGCTGAGAAGACTATGCATACCTAATTTATTAGCGGAGTCGGTGCCAAACAGGCCGCTGGACTATTACACCTGTGCCTTTCGCAAGTCCAAGATGAACAGGTGAGCTCCGGTTAAACTGAATGAGTGGAAGATTAGGGTCACTTTGAATGGCTGTTTGTATGTAAATAAAACGACTTCCTTTAGATTTCTTGGATGTGAAGACCGTGAAAAATACTTCACCAATACACAGAGACACTGCGTTGTAAGTAACACAACTATAACAACACATCAGTAAGTTTAATGCACTTATTACGTGTTTTTTATCACAGAAGGAGTGTGTTTTGTTTTTTATTTGATCAAAGGTGCATGAGATTCTTGCCGGGACAGTGTACGGCAAAAGAAAGAGGGCTGAGGTTGGTGTTGACAGGCTGGTCAATGAAGGTGCCTATACAGCAGCTTTCCCCCTGCACGAGGTGAGATTATATAATCATGTATTCTAAAACCTGATTAATTTCATGTTATCCCTCCCTATCTGTCACATTTGTTTTCCTTCAGGGTCCTTTTCAGCTTCCAAATTATGAGATCCGTCCAGATGAGCTCAATCAGAGGCAAGTTCTGTACTTCTACTGGGCCCGATGGTGGAAATGGTACAAGTATCAACCACTGGACCATATCCGGGAGTACTTTGGGGAGAGGATCGCTCTCTATTTTGCATGGCTGGGTAAATATTGATTTTTACTTACATTTAGGACCTGATTCATTTAAAATAATGTCACATAAAACAAAGTAGTTTTGTATATTTTGTATATTTTGTTTCCACCTAATTTGTTAAACAATACGAGAGAGAGAGAGAATAATTAATAATTAATATTTCTGGTACAATCCACATAATATCCACACCAGAAACAGGCATCCCGACACTGCCCATGAGGCTAAAGCCTATTGTTCCAGCACCATTACTATAGCAATCCACACATAATCCACAAAAATGGTTCTTTAGAGGGAAAAAACAAAAGCAGTTACTTTGCTTGAGAAGTTGCATTTATCCTAAACATCATATGGAGAGTACAAACAATAAAACTAATTTCCTGGGTTTGAAGAGCATTGTGCATCAGTGCAGCCGTGTAATGGCACTTCCTCTCCCACTATACGCTGAGAGCTGTGGTCTAATGGAGCCGTGTGTCCCTGCAGGTTTCTACACGGCTTGGCTTCTGCCAGCGGCTCTGGTCGGAACTCTCGTCTTTGTGTCTGGAGTCATGTCTATGGGTACCAACACGCCAGCGTAAGTCTAAACATGGTGCACAAAATATGTGCTTTAAAACGGACACATGGCAGTAGAGCGTTTCACAAGGAGAAAGGCATTTTAGAAACACATTGAACTGCATGTGGCTTTGCTGGGCTGTGCCCTGTCTAAAGCCGCCCTATCACTGATATCAGGCACAAAATGAATACATCTCATGCATGGGATTTTGTGAGATAATGCTTCTCTCAACCAAAGCTATGTACAGACATTAGCTCTGAAAGGTATGCTTTTGTCTGTTGCTAAAATGTTGCAAATGCAAATTAAATTAGCATTTCAGTGTTAATGTGTTCACAATCTGGTTTTGTTGTCACTGTGAAGTTGACAGAACATATCACTGTGCCTGATTAAAAATGCACCTGGACACATCAGGACTACATCTGACATCTGGAACATCGCAGGACTTAATGTGTAGCCATGATATTAGTATCGATCCTCTTATCTTATCGAAAATAGCGGATTATAACCTTTTCCTCTAAAGGGATGGCATGATTTCTGGAAAAATATACTCAATAAGCTAGTTTACATATATCAAAGCACTGTTTGCTCAAAATCAAAAAGCCCCTTAGTTATTTAGTCATGAGCTAAGTGTGTGCCAGGTTTTTGGATAAATATTTGATCAGGAATGAGCCAACACAGCACAGACAATTAGCCTCCACAGTAATGCTGTTTTCTAATAATGCTCCAAGATTTAATTAAAAGAAATATTATCCCACAATACTGTAACAGATGAGGTGGAAAAAAATGGAGGAAAACTCATAAAGAAAAGAAACCAAATGTCTCATGATCAGGTTCATCAAACTGTAGATTAAAGCAAATGATTAACCCATGACCAACATTTTGCCACAAATAACCACTGAAGTATTAGTGATTATTAAAAATCAGTCCAAAAATAGTGATTGATTTATAAAATAAGATAATTTGACTCATTAAGTCAGTTTTGGATTCAAACAAAAGGAAAGGGCTTTAGCATTGTTTCTTTAGCAAACTTGAAGGTGGAGTTTGGTATCTTTGACATGTTTCCTTTTCCTGTCATCATAATTCTAGTTAAAGTTTTGGTTTGTGTGCAGAAGAACCTAAGAAATGTATAATCTAAGCAATCTTTTGAAGAGTACAATGTATGACTGTTGAACCCTGTATTTGTTTTTTGAATCACAGGGTGGATAAAAACCCGCTAAGCAGCAAGTATTTATTTCTCAGCTTTTTCTCAACCGCGTGTCATCAACAGGAAGGAAATCTGCGACAGTGGGGCGAATTATCTGATGTGTCCTCTGTGTAAAACGTGCGAGGCCTGGAACATGTCTGATATCTGCACCATGGCAAAGGTGAAACGCATTCAGTTGTTTGCCTGACAAATAGTTTCCAATTACAATGCAAACAGCCTGTGAAGCTGAGCTCTGCTCTGCGCCTTTGTGTGTCACAGCTGGGCTACCTGTTTGACCACCCGGGTACGGTGTTCTTCAGCGTATTCATGTCCTTCTGGGCTGTAACTTTTCTGGAGTACTGGAAGAGAAAGATGGCTACACTGGGTCACCACTGGGACTGCATGGACTTTCATGAGGAAGAGGTCTCACAACCATTTGATGTTTCAAAATGAGTATTATTCACAGCAAGTTAAAGAAACCCGACAGAGTTTAACTACAGGCTTTCTGTCTGGTCTGCAAAGGCACATGATAAGTTTTAGTAAACAGCATAGATTACCCAAATCCTCCCATGGTGACCTGCTGTCTGTAGCGTCATTCACATGTGTCATAAACTGGATCTTGATGTTCAATGAGTTGTTACCATCTTGTCCAAGGAGCGTCCGCGGCCAGAGTTTGCAGCCATGGCCCCCAGTATGGAGGAAAATCCAGTTACCGGGATCAAAGAACCTTACTTTCCAGAAAAGGCCAGACTGTCCCGCATGTTCACTGGCTCCATGGTCATCGTGCTGATGGTGAGTCCCATTTTCTGGATTTGAATTTCAGACGTACCCAGTTAGTATTACTCTAAATAAAGTTCAGTTGGATCAGAAAATTATCTTTTTTTTCTGTCTTGATGTTAACATCAGTACACACACTGTAGGCTACTCTATGGGAAAAAAAACTATTCACAATGGTGACAACATTACTGTGTCAAGTGAAGAGTGAAGAGTCAGGGCAGGATTTTACATATATATGTATACATATGATTTATTTCTTATTCTGAATTGGGAAAAGAGAGGTGGCTTTTTCTTCTATGATCTGCTTTACTGAACAAATGCAGTGGTAACTGAAGAGGAACTGAATCTAGGTCACAGGTGGGCCAGAGGGCTACATGTGAGCAGGTAATCTGAGCCTTAGTCATAAGGTTAGTTTTCCCATATATTTTCCCATATATTTCAGCTCATGGGGCTATGACTATATTATTATTATAATTAATCAATAATATATTCATCTGTTTTATTGCAGAATGGACTTGTTTAAATGGGTGTATTCTGCTTATCATGGATTCTTATTCAGATGATTAATTTAGTACAAAATCATTTTTGTTAGCAGAATATAATTTCATACTAGTCAGAAAAAGAGATTTCTTCATCTTACACATCGTCCCTGCTGTTGGGATCCATAGTGCCTCTTCGGGACATTATAACTCATCCGACCCAGGTATCGGCTGTGCACCACCCAATGCTGCGGCATCATAAACCCGGCTCTTTTGTCTTTGCATAACAAGATGGCCTTTGTCAATTATTTTCCTGTGGTTCTGAATTCCCTCTCAGCTGTGCGTGGTGATAATCTTCCTGGTGACAGTGGTCATGTGCCGGGGCATCATCAGTGTGATGATGTATCACACTGGGAGTCCTGTGCTGCGTACAGAGGTAAACCTACTGCGTGCTATAGGGGGGCGTACATAATACGTATGTCCCGTTTTTAATATTTGATCATATTTGATGTATGTGACATCCTCCCCAGGCAGGGACCATAGCCAACATCTCCAGCAGCATTGTTAATCTGGGCCTCATCCTGCTGATGGGTCAGGTCTACACCGCATTAGCTGAGCAGCTCACTAAATGGGGTAAGAATCCTTTCTGCTCTGGAACACTTCATAACCTCAGTGCTTTACATTAATGCCTGTCTCTCTCCCTCTGAGTGTCCACTTAATAAAAGCTGAGGCTTCCTATGAGGCAGATGAAGACCTTTGACCTCATGACAAGCTATTGCAGCAATGCAGTTTGTTAATAATGCAAAAAACATTCTGAAAAACACTTAAGTGCTTAAAAATAATTTGTGCCAACCCATGTCTTCATGAATTCATGGTCTTTTTTTTGTTCTTTCAGAAATGATATATCAAGTTTATTTCAGTGAATTTAGTAATAACAGCATAAAAAATTTGTTTAAGGTGAACCAAAACAATCTGAAAATGAACGTATCAGTTGCAGTTGTTCACACTTGCTGTTTAATACTATGTCTTTGTATTCATGTTGCAGAGATGCACAGAACCCAAACCCAGTATGACAATGCCTTCACCTTCAAAGTCTTCATTTTCCAGTTTGTCAACTTTTACTCGTCCCCTTTCTATGTGGCTTTCTTTAAAGGGAGGTGAGTCTGCCGCACACAACACATCGTGACTTGAGGATTGTGGTGTGGTTCGCTAATCTTCACTATTCTGTGTGCTGCTAGGTTTGTGGGTTACCCTACCAACTACGGAACCTTGTTTGGGATGAGAAATGAGGATGTAAGTTGTGTTAGGTCTTTTATATTTCATCTGTGATGGTCATTCCCATTTCTGATTGATTGGAGAAGTATAAACGCTATTGTCCTTTGGCTCCTTTCTCTGATCCCTCGTGCTACAGTGCGGTCCTGGTGGATGCCTCATTGAACTGGCTGAACAGCTCTTCATCATTATGGTTGGAAAGCAGCTCATCAACAACATTCAGGAGTTCATTATACCGTATGTTCCTCCAACCACACAAATACAATACCGAAAATATTACTGAGTATTCAAACCATTATCTCGGTTTAATGGAAAACTGAGTCAAATGTCAAAATAACTTTTGATTTAACAGATCATTTATCTCAACATGAGAACCTTTATCTTATGGTGCCAGAAGCTGTATGACAGGCATAGAAACATTCATATTAGGATAAAAGAAGAGGCTGTTGACTGTAAAAAGGAAAAAGAAAATTATATTACTATATCTAATCATGTCAAATTGGATTAAAATAAAGCAGGAGTATATTTTTTATTTTGTCTGCTTTGACAGTAAAGTGAAGGGCTGGAGACAAAAGAGAACTCTGGCCAGTGTGTTTGGAGGTGATGCATCCCACGAGCCCCAGCGGTGGGAAGAAGACTACCAGCTGGTGGAGTGTGGGGGTCTGTTTGAAGAATACCTTGAAATGGGTGATTATTCACACCCCCGTGTGCACTCTGTATACACCGCTCGATTGCGAGGGCAGTGATGTGAGTGATGTTTGTTGCTGTGTCGGGCAGTGCTCCAGTTTGGGTTCATCACCATCTTCGTGGCGGCCTTCCCCCTTGCTCCGCTCTTTGCACTCCTCAACAACTGGGTGGAGATCCGTCTGGACGCCCACAAGTTTGTGTGCGAGTACCGCCGGCCAGTGGCCGAACGCGCTCAGAACATCGGCGTCTGGCTCATCATACTGGAGGCCCTGTCACATCTGTCTGTTATTGCAAATGTGGGTAGATTTCCACTTGTCCTCATTAGAGATGATACTGCTACTGTATTGAATTTATTTTTATTTTTACAAAAACTCAATTAATTTCCCCTCAGGCTTTCCTAATAGCCTTCACATCAGACTTTTTACCCCGCCTGCTCTACCAGTACAAGTTTGATAATGATCTCCGTGGATATGTGAACTTCACCTTAGCCTACGCTCCACTGAACTACACAGAGCATCCCATGTGTAGGTATGTAGAGCTCCCACAGTTTTTTCTTTAGAATGATTCGGATTTCATTAAAAAATGCGAATCAGAAAACTCTCATAGCTTTGTTTACCATATTTTCCGTCTGCCTTTAAGGCATGCTATGTTTTACTGATAAAACCTACACACTGATCGCCACAATTGTAAAGTTTGGAATAAGTTACTTCAATAAGATGTCAATTTATACAAGTTTACATGCTATTTCCTTATGTGCTCAGATACTTTCTTGGTAACTTGGTTTACACACACTTCATTGACAGGTATGTCAAATCATTTTGGGAATCTGGAAGTTTGTCCTTTTTTATGCTTACATTTCATTGCCTCAACGGGCTGGATGAGGAACACAGCCATTTCAGGTCTCTTTTTATTTTTTGAGTGCGATGCTCCGTGTTTGTTCTTCTTCTGTGTCATACCAAGGGCAGAGATAGTCAAATGAAATAAAAACAAAAGACATAGAGGACATTTTTGTATGTGCCAAAGAATGAAGAGAAGAATTTGTAATGACTCGAGAAATTGTGGGAAATTCTGCCTGGAAATATTCTCTTGTCACTGAAGTTCTTAGTTTCTGTCTTTTTTAACAAACCCAAAAGAATAACAAGGTTTCATTGTGTATGAAATCATACCCTTGACCAACAGAGGGTAGTGTTACTGATGTTTTAAGATGGTTCAGGTTGGTCATATGATTTTTGCCAAACATCCAAATATTACTCTGTTTGACCTGCACTTGCTGTATTTTATCCATTTTTAGATACAAAGCATTCAGGGACAACAACGGAAACTACACTTTGTTCTACTGGGAGCTCCTTGCTGTCCGACTTGGGTTCATCATTGCATTTGAGGTATGAGCTTTGGCTTTTGACTGGTTTCCTCTTTCTTTCTTTTGTTTGAGTGATTCAGATCCTTGATCCAAACTCACATTCATTCCCAGTTTTATCTCTGTTTGTGTGTGTTTACATTTGGATGAAACCAAATGCCCTTGCTTCCTTTCCTCCAGCATGTTGTCTTCTTCGTGCTGCGTGTCATCGACTGGGTGGTGCCTGATGTCCCAGAGTCCTTGGAGCTGAAGATCAAGAGGGAGCGCTACCTGGCAAAGCAAGCTCTGGCTGAGAACCAGGAGGCCCTGCTGGTGAGTCGAGGCCGTGGTGCCGCCCCTGCCTCTCCAGGCACCTCCAGCCCAGGTCAGTAAGAACATGGGACACACACACACACACCTAATGCCATGCAACACACTCTTGTACACACAGTCTGACAATCAAATAGCTGATGGGTTGTAAACTGAACAGAAGCGGATCTTCACAGAAACCTGAAAGTTTCTATCTGCAGTCATTAAACCTCAATGAAAGGATTAAAAAAAGGAAAATTATGTGCTGTAGTATGGTGCAATCCCACTCTATGGCTGCACACAGGGGATCCATGCAACATTCACCAGCACTGGTAACGGGTTATATAATGTTAAACCTGCCACAAAACTATTTTATCCCCATAAATAAAACTGGGATGGAGCCGGAATGCTTTTAAAAACTCAGTCGTTCACTTTCAGACTTTTTTTCGGAGAATTGGAAAAGCGCCTGCAGCTTGATTGTCAGAAACTCACCACGCTGCACACGCCGCCATCATAAAAAGTCCTTTAGTGTGGGATCAGTGCCAGACACATCTCTGCCCGATTACATGCATAAGTGACGTGCACCGATCACTGCTGGCATCATTTGTCTCTGTCAGTTGATGTTCAACTCGGTGGAAATAATCAAGAACAATAAACAGTTTGCATCTAACTTCTGTCAGAAATCCTATTATGCTCACTGAGATAACAGATTATCCACTCACAGCACATGCAGACTCCAGCATATAGTGCACATATTGCATCCTCACCTGTGTGTGTGCTTGTGTGTGTGTGTCCTTGTCCTCTGACCCATGCTGTTGTCATGTGTCTTGTGTCATTAATGTTGCCAGATGAGTGCACGCGAGTACAAGTAAGTGGAAGTAGCTTTTAAGAAAGACGTCTGGCTTTCAATCAACAACTTTAACCGCTGGTCTCTTTTTTTTCTAGCTCTGTGTATAAAACCCGAAGCTACCAGCTTTGCTCTGTTCAAAGTAAAAATGACTTAATAAAAGAATCAGAGGAAATATACATGTATCGGGGAATGTTGTCGATCTTTTAATCTATTAAGGTGGAACTCCAGCTGTGAGTAAATTTAGCCTCAAGCAGTCGATTTAAATGTGGTCTTGTTGCTAACACGAAAAGGCATGTCCTTCAAAGACCCAAACTAATTGGCTTAAGGCGCAGAAAGCATTTGTTTGTATTGTAAGAGTCTGTCTATGTTTGCGATTTCAGTATCGTTCTAATTTGATGGCATGTTGCAGCAAAGATTGGCTGTGTCAGCCTTTTTCTCTCCAGTCTGAGAAAAAACTAACACTCTCTAATGTCTCTCTGCTCCGTCTTCATTCCTTCTATGTCAAAACCCAATTGCCCTGCCACTCCTGAAGCAAGCGACGCGTCCTTTGGAATCATGAATTAGGACTCCTCTGCAGGGAAAGGAACGATGGGAGGGAACACTGGAGGAATCTCAGATGCTTCTTTGCATCTGGAACATGTGTGAACATTTCCCCCAATTGGAACTCTCTTTGCATGGGGATTATTATACATTTTGTGAATGTATCGGCTGATTCACAGTTCTTATCTGATGTGTAATGGAGACCAAACTCGTCACAGCTGGACGGATGATGCACCTTTTTTCACCGTTAATCGAGTAAATCGTCTCTCCGTCGGAGCAAGGGATTGTTTTCATTGTGCATAAATGTATAAGTAATGAACGTCGAAGCTGCATCTGTGTCGAAAGGTTTGCATTTTAATGACTACCTGGAGTTACAGCGTGTGGTCTCATTGCTGTCAGACTGCTCCCAGCTCCTGTCAGGTCCAATTAGAATTTCACACAGGCCTGAGATCTGTGCACAGTGTGCGTCACACCGAGCCTCCAGGTTGTGTAGGCATTTATTTGATGTCATAGGTGTTTAATGACACTACCAACATGTTGGGTGCCAACATGTATTTGCGTTTACCGTCATGCCATTCTTTATGGAGTTACTCCAGAGGATCCATGGGCTGGAAAACCAGATTCCAGTTCCACTCCAGTCTGAAAACTCAGTCAATCATTTGCAGTCTTTAACCTCAAGTACAGATAACCCCGAATTTCTCACACTTGACAAAGCCCCAACAAACAAGCCACTAAATGGACTCAGTGCAGCACCTTGTGAGTGGAATACTGACTTTGATGTGTGAAATCTGTCGTGTGTTAATGGCGTCCAAAGTTCTTACTTTTATCAGGCTGAAACTGTAGAATCAGAGAGAAGACATTGTTACTTTTCTAGGCTGATTGTACTGTGGTTACACAGCCCTTTTGTTATGGTTTCACCCATTAGTGCAGAGCATGCCAGTCTTTTCTACCTGAGTATCTTGCACAGTATCGATATAAACTGTCTTGGATTCCTGTTGTACGATAAATCACAGGGGAGCGTTTTCAGAACAAAATAAATCTAGTTTGATGAATGCAATGTGGGGTTGAGAAATAAACCCCGGATAGGGGGGATAATGTAACAACAAAACTCAAAGGAAGGGCATTAATCTTCTCATTCCATCAACCATCTCTGCTTTTTCTTCATGTTTCCATATTCTAATCTTCTCCAAGCAGACTGATTTATTACGAGTCAGAAACAGACAGGTGTTCGTTAATGATTTCTCTCTTCCTCTCCCTCCTTCTCTCAAACCATCTACCAATGACTACAGCCCCGGGCAACTTCTGACTTTTATTTGATCTCCTCTCCTCCTCCTCTTCCTCCTCACCCCCTTTTTTTTTTACCCTTCCTCTTCTGCTCTGTCCTCTGTTTTTCTGTCTTATTTCATTCCTGCCATCCCAACTTTTTTTTGATACAATCTCCTCTATCCCCTCCTCTCTTTTGGCCACGTTCATCTAAGAATTGTTATGATTGCAGTGCGTTCCTCTGCCATGGCCTGCAGGAAGAGTGAGTTCGTACATGTCAGCGTGCACAGGTATGCGCTGTGGACACTAGCGGCTTCGCTCACCGAAACCTGGAGCGAGGAGGGAGACGCTTGCATGCATGAACTGCAGAGCAACAGGCTCCACTCCAGCCTGGAGGTAACAACGTGGTACAGCAGACACAGACACAGGACACGTGATGAGGCTCACCTCAAAGAGACGACTACTCCAAAAAATCCAACTGATTTTGATGCGGGGCTGATCTTTAATTCATTTCTGTATCTCACTTAAACTTAATCATATTCACTTCATAAAATATAAGCGAAGTTAAAAGAAACCATTCATGGACTATTTTGAAATAATAGTTTTTACGCTTACATTTATTTGAGAGAAGGCTTCTCAGAGTCTTTTTCCAACCTTTTTCTGTCCAGCACAAAATGCAGAACATGTAAACGCTGACCATTACTGGCAAAGCTTTGGCTCCCACTCAACCCGTTGCCATGCTTTTTATTTTTTGTTTGAAGAGCACGAGTGGAGCAAGCAAGCAACACCGAAAGAGAAGATAGTCGAAGCAAGCCTTGGCAGCTTCTCTCTTTCAACACCTAACAGCCTGACATTTGGAAGAGGCACTCGCGCACACAGCCAGAGGCATTGATTTCTAGTGGATCTGCTTGCATGGTGCTGCAAATGTACATATGCACAAAGACTAACTTTTTCCTGCAAGGATTTAGACTTGATTTTAAATCTGTCTGTGCAAATAGTGGTCCCTCTCACTCAGATAGCTCACAGCAAATGCACGGGCACAGAAAACTCCCATTTATTGATCACTAACACACTGTTTGACTTGTACACACTTCCATAGGGGACCGACATTTACTGTTTCCAAGTCCGTCTGATTTTTTGTCCCTTTCCGTGTAAAGGCAGGTGCTGAAATGAGACACTAAATAACTATTAGAGGAAGGGCAAAAAGAAGGGGAGGAGAGTTAGAGAAAATAAGAGAGCACTTCCCCAACAGTAGCCGAGAGACAGGGAGGGAGGGAAAAGAGGCGAGAGAGGGAAGGGAGAGCAGAGGAGCTTAGAGAGGGGATCTGCATTGTAAGTAGCTCTGAGAGCAGCAAGTGGTGGCAGTTTTTTCAACCTTTTTTTGTTTTCCTGAGAAAAGGAGAAGGAAGAACAAAAGAGAGAAGAACCAATCAGAGGAACACGGTTTTGAAAAAGCCTGTGCTTTGTTTTGTTTTTTTTAGCTTTTTTTTTCAAAAGAAACGCCAAAAGAAGAGAGGGGAGGAGAGAAGCCGGGAGGAACACAAGGCAGCAATGGATAGGATAGTGGCTCAGTCTGACCCTGGGATGGCCTGGATTCACACACTGGGGCTGGCCACCATCCAGCACACACACTAGGCTGCGGACGGCAGTGAGGTACAGTACTTAATAACCGGTGACGATGACTTTCAAATGACAAAATTAAGCAATCAAATCAACCTCGAGCAAGGGTTACTGGAGCAGTTTGTTGTGACGGCTGAAAGTTGAGCTGCGCTGTTAAGCTGAGAGTTCAGGCTGTACTTTGTGTGGTGCGTTTGGTGGAAAAGTAACTGCAGACGGTCAGGTGCACTGGCCTTTATCTAAAAGCACGAGTGCACTGGTGACTTTGGCATGAATTATTTCTGACTAGGTGTATTCTCTCTTCCAACAGCGCCATCAAAAACACAGACTTTGATATCTTTGCATTGAGGGGCTGAAACATTAACTCTGACAGTTGTATCATTGACAAAGGCTCCCCGACTACCCCGCTCAAGTATATACACGTATGGTGTCCTTCAGATTGTGAGCTCCACTATTCATTTATTCCCTTTGAAGAAGTTGCTTCTTGCATCAGTAGCGTTTCCAGCAGCTCTCCGGGCACTGAGCCTTAAATGGGATGTTACAGTGGAGCAGTGAGTTGCTGCGGAGCGGGGCAGGTAAGTGCATGTCTGGAAGACGTTAGATGAGGGGTTGTTAAAAACTGTACACGGCTGAACGCTGGCTCCGCAGCTCACACACTCTGCTCGCTTCTCCCCTGTTGGATACTTTCGCATAAAGCCCGGGCCCATTCTTTGCCTGTGGCACCAGGCAGAGGGGGGGAAAAAAACCTCTGATTTGATTTTGTGTGTTAGTGAATGTGCTTCTAAATATGTGAAATAGCCACTGCATCTGAATGCGTGTGCGAATATTTCTTCTTAGCATGCCTCACGTCTCTGGCAGCCGCCACATACTTTCCAAAACACCACCAGAAGTGGGTGAGCTGAGGTGAAGACTACCTTTCTGTCTGCCCGCCTGATGACTAAGTGTATTGTCATGTGAAATGAGTGCTGCTGCTCTATGTGTACAGAGAGTCTGCTGATACATATTCTGAGTTGGGAACAAATCATAGCCACAGATGTCTATTATCTGGTTTGCCATTGCGAGTCTGGCTTAAATGTGTTATCTGCATGTGGGGTAAATGTGTACCAGAGCAAAATAAAACTAATCGGGACTTTAAACGGTTTTACTGCCGTTTATGGCGAGTGAGGGATCCCCCGTGTGATAGCAGACGTCTGATAAGGTTTTTCACAAGAGTCATCATTATGGTTAGGAGAGGATGAACGGCGTGATTGAATTGAATCTCGTGCCTCCGAGGCTCTTTTTCTGTCGATTTAATTAATTCTGCATGCTTGTTCACGTCACACTCAAATTCATCAGTCATCTCACCGCAGAAACCTTCCCTCTTCCCACTTCCTCCTTCCCCCCCACACCCCACAGTACCTGGAGAAAGCACCTGTCCCATCACCTGCCACTCAGACAGCAGCTGTCTGCGCACGTGAGCGTGTGTCTGTGTGCCCGTATGTGTGTGGGGAAGATCTCCGGGATACCGCGCATCACCCTCATCCCACCTCACACCTCTCTGAATTTACCTCGCACGCAAATTCTTCCCGGGCTCGTTTTTGGGTTCATACCCCCGAGCACGCACATTCATAGCAGCTACCATCAGATTTATTTTTTATTTTCTTTCTGACCTGTTTTCCTGTAAATGCCTTAATATCATGAGGCATCGCTGACTGAAAGCTACCTGCCATTTAAACATGAGTGAGACTGCTATTTTAAAGAGACGTGGTCACTTTCCCAGCCTTCTTGCTGGTGGCCTAGATAGCGGCAGCTTTGAGAGTGGCTAATAGCAGCCCTCGCTCCTGCACGTGTACCGAGGAGTTTCTGTGTTTGTCTCCTGCTTCAGCTCAGCAGTCAATTTCAGAGGAATGGGCATGCCAAGTCATCCAGGGAATGTGGAGAAGCGTCTCTTTGTGTAGGAGGGTATCGTATATGGTGGTAGTTGGAAATGAACTTGTCTTGAAGACCTGAACTGTAAAACAGACCACCTACTGACCTAAAAGCCCATTTATTTAGTTTAAATTCATGCATACACAGCGCACGGTTTTGGGATTTTTAGGTACAAATGTTTGATCTCACAGACGAGAAGTTGTCTTTAGTTTCCTGACGTATAACTTTTAAAGCAGCAGTGCACAGGTTCAGTCATTTATTCGATAATCTGCTTAGCTGTTTTGCATGAAGGTTTAAATAGACAGAATTTGGAAGTGTGGGCCTGTGGCCATGTATGCAGAGGACTGCTGTGCACACCTGTCTGGCGCTGTAGCCCTCAGGCTATTTCATATCACAACTAGGCCAATATAACACACTGTGTGTTTCATGTTTTTCATGTTTTTACTCATTCAAGATAATACGTTTCTGGGTTCCAATGATGAGGAATGCATCCTCAGCAGAATATTTTTGCTTTGCCTTGTTGCTTCTCTGAAGGGAGAAAAAAAAAGGGAAAACCAGGTGTTGCTCTCGCATTAAACCGCAGAAAATCCTTTTTTTTTCTTTTCCTTTTCACGGTTATTTAGCTGAATATGAAACCATCACTCTAATCCCGACGAGGCTGCTGGTATTCAGTTTTGAATAGTTTATAGCATTTATCCTTCAGCTGAAAAGGAATCAGCTCTAGATGGTCATTCTTCGTTAGGTGTGTTCCACTCTTACCCGATCACATTTCAAAACAACATATGACTTGTCCATACCTGTCCAGATAATAAAAGCCAGAAGTGGGGTATGGGTGGGGAGGTGCTGGTGCTTCCAGGGGAAAAGTGGAGCACAGAGTAAGAAAGAATAACAAAGAGAATGTGAGGGAAGGCTCAAGCAGATCAACGCAGAAGATGCATCAGCAATTTGATATAAAGTAGGTCAGTCTTTTAAGGGCATCCGTGGCAAAAGATCAGACATGAATCAAAGCCCTTCGATTGACAGTTTGAGTACATCAAACCCAGTTTCCTACTTTTTTTTTTTTAGCAGATCTTAGACCAGAAATGAAAAAAAAATCAGACCTGGATAAAACTTGAATTGTTTTCTGAAACAGTTGGGCACTCTCAGGTTCCCCCAACATGAATTGTTAAAGAAAACAGCATTTGATGGAGGCTATTTTCAGAGGTGGGCTAATGCTGTGTTTGGTGTTCTGGGGTTTACAGCATCAGGATGGTGTACGCAGCCAAACGGCATGTTTGTGGTGGCGAGGGAACATGGCGGTGGGAACCGCCGTGGCGCTTTTAGCATGAACTGTGCATGGGATCACAAAGTAACTGTTACAAACGAAGCCGTGACATATAAAGCTCTAAATGCCTGTTCTCTTTTTTATATTCCGGAGCCAATAGTTCATTATAGCTAATAGGATGTATTTGGTCTCTTTTTGGAACGTTCAGATCCAAAAAAGAAATCAGATTTTAGATTTCAGTAGCCTTTCTTGTTTTAAATGAATATTTCACTCCATTTTTCTGTTTACTGCTTCTAGCACTGCGGTCATTATTTTAAATGTTTTGACATTCTGCGTTGTCATTTTCATTTCCTTTGTATTTAAAAGCGCTATTTGGATAGAAATCGACTGACCTCTGGCCCTAATATGGAGGATGAAGAGATCGGCTAAATCACAGGAAGTGAAAAGTCATAAAAGTTCGAGGGGAACAATTTAACATGCTAGAAAAGGCTGTTGTGCAGGAGAATTTAGTAGAATAGCAGCTCAAAAGTTGTTTTATATGTGCCTCTGTGTGTGATTCATGCACAATCTCTTAAACATTTGATCCACAATCTTCTCATATGTGGGGATTTGCTGCTCACTATCTGCTTCATATCCTCGTAAATCAAATATATCTGAGTTTTGGACAGTTGGTCGGAAAGTATTTTTCAAGATATGCCTTTTGGCTCTGAGATGACAATAACAGCTACCTTCTATAGCAAAACTATATCATGCATGCGGTGCTTTGTTTAACTTGGCTGATTTTTAAGCTGCAGGTTTGAACTTTTCAAATGTTCATAGAACTTGCCAAAACATCCTAAATCAACTCTTCTTTTCGAAGAATCTCATTGTATACTGTTAGCGATTGTCTGTCAGAAAGTGCTGATTATGAGATTTTCTGGATTTACCACCCTGTGGATCAGCCCTCCATCAACTTGGCAGCTTTTGCGACTTACAACAAAGCACCATAATTAGATCAGGTTATTTCCAAAAGTTTTGTCAATAGCTCCTTTGTGCCTTTGCTGACCTGACCGCGTCTCTCCGGTGCACGAGCTTATCTGACTGCAGCTGTCATGGCGGAAGAGTGTGGTGAGGGAAGGCGAGGTTAAAGGTCCGAGGGCTTTGGCGTTTACGTGCGAGATGGTCACCATTTTTTCAGCCTTTGAAATGAGCGACTGCTGTTTGTCTGTTTTCTCTTAGCAAGAATCCCTTCTGGACCGGACAAGGTTAGGAAAAGCCTCGATGCTCCTTTTCACTCTCAGTCCCAAACAGTAGATTCTCATCCAGGTGGACCCTGTGTGGCAAAGCTTTGTGCAATTGTAAGCCAAGTTGTCAGCAGGCACCCTCATGATGTCCCGGAAGGTCGTGAGCGAGTCGCCTGAGGCTTTAGAGGAGGATTAGGAGGACCCACACCATGTGTAAACATTTGGGTAACCCTCCCACCAGCCTCCTCTGTAGCCTCTGGGGTGCTCACCTGTCTCTGTGAGCGGAGGCTGGAAGAAAACCAAATACCAAGGAACTCCAGGTCCTGAGAAAGAATGCACATCACCTCGGCAGCTGGTACGATTTCTCCAACTGGAAACCAAATTATGAAGAGGGGTTATTTTGGCTTTGACATTTCTTATACAATATAGACTTCACTGTCTTTTTCAATGCAAAGTTTTGTTGAATTTGCAACTAAACTTATTATTGTTATTAACTTATTTCCGACTTGCATGTACTTGCAATGGAAAAGCACAACAAACTAGAATTATATTGGAGAAATGTCATGTAAAAACACCAAAAACCATAAAATTTATTGACAAAACCTGCTTTCACTTATAAGCAACTGTTTCGTCGATATGATCCAAATGACTTAGAATTGTTTTCAAGTCATTAGGTCAAGAAATGATCAGGTACATAGCAGATGCATTGCAAAGTTAAAAGCTGAAATCGTCTCCGTCAGTGTTTCACAGAATTTCCTCCTTCTGCTGACAGAAAACAGAGAGCTGGGGCTGGGTGGTTTTCCCAGAAGTGACGCTAAATGATGTCATGTCTTGTTTCTGCAGACAATGCAGGGCTCTTTAGTCTCCTCTTGGCAATTAGTGGTCTGATGCGACTGAGTTAAACTACGACCTCGCACATACACATGAGCTGGTCACACCACACTGCCAGGACACTCCAGTCTGTCTGACCAAACACACCGGACTTGAGCTCATGGAGAGAAGTGTGTATGTGGTCGGGAAAAGGGCGCACTTCGTTAAAATTCTAACAGATTTATTCTCCTTGCAGTTGGATAGACAAATTCCAACTGATACGATCAAAAATGACTCTTGAAGAACACGAATACTTAAAGCCAGAGTAAAACAGAACAAGAATTTGCCACACAAGTTTTCAGAAATTTTCAGAAAAATGAATTTAAAGGGCAGACTGGTACACTTGCAGCCCTGGAAAAAGCTTTTCTGTGTGTGAGTAATGGGGATGAAGCCCCGGGCTGGTCGAATGCTCGAAGAGAAAGAATTAGGAGAAATTATGAATTATAAAAAAAAAAGCACAAAGATATGACCATTGAAACTTTTAAAGCCCCATTTTCACTCTGTTATAAAGCAGATCTTTGTCTTTTGACATCTGTATTTTCCAGATCAGAGCAAAGTGCCAGAGCAGTCCATTCCTCAGACTCTTCTTCAGATTTATGACTGTCCCCGTGTGGTGGCAGAATGGTGGCTTTAGGAATCCCCAGAGCAGACAGTCTCACTCTGACCCATCACTCTCCCATTAACAGAGTAGGTCACCCAAGGGTTAGAGTTTAGAAATGTACCTTTTATTCTCTGATTGGCTCAGAAGGCATTTCCATAGCCTACTTGGCGTATTTTGGGGTTAAAATACATGATTTTTAGTACTGTTTGACAGCTGTAGGTGTCTGCCTGTCTCTGAGCTGAGGCCACTGCACTGACCAGTGTGCCACTGGTCTGGTGGCTTGCCTTACTTTTGTCAGCTTAACATGGTTTTGGTCAATCAAAAACACAACCTAGTCATTTAAGCCAATGTCGGAAATCCAGTGTGGAGGCAAATCGCCAACACTTTGTAAACTCTGTAGTTCAGGTGAGAACTGAGATAGAAAGCATTAGGATCATGTTTTGTGAGCTTAAGACCCAGGAAATGTTCTATCTCACTCAGATTTATGATGACTCATTCAGAGACACGCATCTGTATGTTTAAAAATGATATCAATGTGTTTTCAATGAATCCAAGCAAAAACATTACTGCTGCACATCAGTGTTACTTGACATGAAAACACTAGTAAAAAATGTGTAAATGTATGTCTTCATAAACCACAATCAGCTCTTGCAATCAATCTATTTGTTTTAACATCCTTTTCTCCCCTCGGCAAACACCAAACAAACTTTAATTATGTGATTACACAAAGTTTGGCTGTGTCGAGGAGCTGAATCAGCGGCGCGTTTATGGCCTATTGATGCGATGTACTCCATTAAAGGATTATTCGGAGAACTTTAAAATGTAAAATGCCACAACTGGAGATGCTCCTCATTCGGCTGCTGGCATTAAAGACGTGCCAGAGCGCCGTTCATTAATGTCTGTACGCAGACACGATGTCTTAGAGAAGCCTAGTGAAATTACAGGGGGAACTCTGGCAGCAAAGTCCATAACAATCACAAATAACACCCTGCTACGACAAGGGAAATTACACGTCTTTGGAATTGAAATTTTTAATGGTGTGATATAATTGTATCAGCGTGAGGAATGCACTGTGCAGTAGGATGCTTTCATGTTTCGGTAAATAAGGTAGCGAGGGTTGTTGTCAGTTCTTATGATCTTTGAGGCTCTTGATCAAGTAAGAAGATAGCTAATTTTCTGCTAAGAGCGTGTTGATTTATGACGACTGCCTGTTGGTGGAGGATCACCAGAACTTTGGCTTATTAAGAATGACTGATTATGGCAGCGTGGATTATTTTTTTTGTCTTGAACTTGCACCGTAAGTAATTCATATTTGATCTCACACAACAGACAGCACATAGAGGCAAGCCAAGCATAGGTAAAGCTCCCAAATACAGCAGGATCCGACCATAAGCGGCGAGTAATCGCATGCAGACACCAATAAGCTGGAGTCACTATACGGCAGTGGTCTGGATGTATTTATATGGCTCAGTGGCTGCACTATATGAGCGTATCAGTGTAAGCAGTTCCCACACCCTCTCAGGTGTCTTGTGCTCAGGGCAGCCTGGCCCAGGAACACAGATAAAGGCGGCCTTTGTTTGCAGCTAGGAACAGGTAACCATTTGTGCCTGCCAGTGTGTGTGTGTGTGTGTGTGTGCGTCCGTGCACCCTCGTGTTTGAGTGTGTTTGCATGCACGTGGGTTTGTGTGTGTGTGTGTGTGTGTGTGTGTGCGAGAGCAACAGAGAGAGATAGGACCGACTGGCTCGCTTACCTGCGCCGCAAGAGCAGGTGTGGCTTTTCAACGACCTCCCATTCACCGCGCACGGGACATGCGCGCCCAATGAAAAGAAAGGTAAACTGTGATTCCCAGTTTGCGATGCTCAAGGCAAACAAACAGGACACATACAGAATCAGCATCATTGTGCTTTTGTACCAACTTTAAATACGGTGAAACTGTATACGTTGTACAATAGCATTGATTTTAATTTTGTTGTCAGTGTGAAATGATATTCTGTCACCAATAAGATTCATAACAAGGATTTAATCATGTGGTGAAGTGTTGGTGGGTCTGTGTGTGAGCAAAGTAGATAAAAAGTTAACGATTAACTCTCACTCCTGTCTATTTATTGGTAATTATGTGTTTTGAAGTGAAGTGGGCTTGGAGTTGTCAGCAAGCAGAAAAGAAAACTGTTTTAATTAAGTAGTTTTCACAGAAACCAGAATTCTACAACAGTTTTTAACATGCCCCATAACCTACAAACACATTTTATAACATAATAACAACCATAACAAGATGTAAGGAAACCTGTTTCATTTAGTTTTTTTTTTAAATTAGGTATGAAGTTGGTTTTGCTCTAACGCCTTTTGAAGGAATGAAAAAGGAAGTCCTTTTTATTTTCATAGCACTGGAAGTAGGTTACTTGATATGCTTGTGGATAAATTAAGTGTTACATTACTCAGTTCTTTCACTGCTACCAAAAAAAGCATCAGAATTTCTTTGTAGCTGAATATTATAAACCAGAGGAAGCATATAAAAAGGAATAGTGAGATATTTCATGAAAAATATAGATATTTGCTCTTAAATCTGATGACAGCAGCACATTTGAACAAATCTATACAGTTATCCACAAGTCAGTAACGTCATATCACTGTGTACAAAAGAGACGACAGTCAAACAAAACCGAAAGCATGTTTTCGCTTTAGAAGCGCTAAATTAAAGATATGATTCTATGATGGAAATACATTGTTTTCACAGGGGAAAAAGTTCAAACTGTTTCGCTTGTATCCTTCTCTGTGCACGTGCACCATAACTGCTGTATGCCAGTGCTCTTTACCAGGTGTTTAAGCCAGAAGTTTAGGATTAGCTGTTCAGGAAGCTTGAGGGTAAAAAGAGACTGTGTGTGTTTAAAGAGCCTCTAAAGACGTCTAACTTTACGACCGCTGCTGGATTTTAACAGTCGCACACTGTAAATAAAACAGAACTGGTACCTGATTTGTTACATGGGTCCAGGAAAGTGAACTAAAAACTGATTCCTGGCTTAGAATAGATCTCAGGTAAAAGGCGAAAGTGCTGAGGACCAACTCTCTTCCACTGTCTGTCCTCCTGTTGGGGCCCTCTGTCTGGAGTTGCAGTGTGTACCGAAATGTTAAGTACAGGGACTGAATGCTATGCGAAGAGAAGTCTTTAATTAGGGCAGGAAGACACAGCCCAGGAGACACATCAGACCTCTGTTTGTGTGTGAAGTCTTGATGGTTAAACGTCCTGCATGCATGCACGGTTTCCAGAGGCGTCTGTTAAGTGAGTGTGCTTTTGTGTCAAACATTCTCTGATTCTGTTAGTATTTTTTTTTAAATAATTTTGGTCTCATGACTTTGTGTGAGAGCAAAACTTACTGTCTTTAGGATGATGATTGTTAATATTTAGATTGTATGATCGTCCACTGTAGATATTACTGTAGATCCCAAGCTTTGGATTTGTTTGCAGTTTCAATTCATCCTGGTGATTTGGTTTGTTTAGTATAAACCTAAGCACTACCTGTCATTAGGAAAAACGATGCCCTCATGTAGTGACCATGGGTTTCCATATTAGTAATATTTTGAGTTTACACAAGCAACGAGACTGAAAACCGGTAATAAATCTTTATGATATTTGGGCCTCTTGAAAGCTCTGCTTCAAAACCAGACTTGTTGGGACTTTTTTTTGTAGTAAAAATTCCTGAATGAAGTCTGGAAGACCACAAAAATCATTACCAAAAAACACAGTTTGTTACTACATGAGCAAATTCAAGCAAGATCACTACCAAACATAACACATTTTAGTAGGGAATATTCACTAACAGCACCACCTTCTCTGGGCCTAAGGCCATTTTAAACAAACCAACAAAAAACAGAGAACTTACAATCTGGATATCTTGAACAGCCTTCCTCTGTGTGTAAAAATAGACTAAATGTATGACTTGTTAGCCAAAGCATGTTAATTCAAAAGCTATTGTCCCTTATGACTTTTATAGCTAACTTAGCTTCATTAACATTGAACACTGTATAGATGTTTTACGTATGCTGGAACGTACGCTGCAGATTCAGGGGAAACTTTGAAACTGTGTATTGAAACCAAAAGGAGACATTCTGCAGGTATAATGACACTCAGAGAGGAAATCAGTGCAGGTGCTAATCTGCCTGCAGCTCAAATTTGTCATGCACTAAAAGCTTCAAACTTTTACAAGTGAGGCCACAATATGATGAGCACCTGAAGCCGTCATGAAATCACAAACAGTAGCAATATTCCCATAAATAATACAGGTATTACAGATAGTTTAATATAATTTGAGTTCGTAGAGGACAGTGATGAATGTCCCATCTCTTTCAAAACCATCATATCATTAAAAATGACAATTTACATCACAAAAACAAGGACAGTTTCTCCCCAGTCAACATTTTAAAGTCTCTTTAATGTCAGAAAAAGGGTATTTAAGGTTAGGGTTTTTCTAAGGTGTTACAGTCTGTTTTTTTTATTTGTATTTAAAGATTATTTAAAAATTATTGAAAATGATTTAAAGTTGATATCATATTTATTTATTACCGTGGTAGATAGATACCCCTCATTTTTTTCTTGTGTAAATAATCGGTTTTCTCCCTCTCCGTTGCAGCTCCCATGTGCCTGGTGAGCCATGTTCCCTGGTTATGGATTCTCACACTTTCCTAATTTCCAACCCCACCTTCACGCTTTTCACTGCCGAGGAGAGAGGCCCAGCATGTGGATCCCGCGCTCAGCAGAGTCCCAGGCTGCCGGTGAGCCCCAGGAGGACAGGCCCCTCGTGCACCCCTGTCACCACAAACACGTGGCCGTTTGCCAGCAGGAAACATTGGCGTTTATCGAGCTACAACCATCAGCAACTCCCAAATCAAACGGCTTTGCTTCTCAGAGGACAAACGTTACTTCAGATCCACAAAGAACGGCGCGGGCTCTGCCGGTGAACGGCTTCAGACAATCACTGAATGAACTTAATGACATGCACAGAAGCTGCCACGGGTCAGGCAGTGACATGGAAATTGCGGAGGGTGGCGTTGATATCGAACGTCCAAATGGCGTCAGGACTTCTTTCCAGGATCAAACCGAGAAGCCGCGGACCGTCACGACTGTTTGTCGTCCCCTCCACGCAGCTCTCAGCCTCCCTCTTTCCCTCCCCCTGTCCTCTCTGTACACTAACAGAGACTCCTGGGAATCTCAATTGACTTGTTCCCCATCCTCACCTGAATCTACGAGCTTTCAGGGCCCAGACTCCTGCCCGCCCCAGAGGAGAACTTCACAAGGGTCGATCAAAGAGAAATCCATACGTAAGTTCTTTAAAAAACAACCCTTCAATGTGTTAGCATGTTTTCTCTTTATCTAATGACGTTTTTCTGTGCTTCTCAGGGCGAAAGATGCAGGTTTATTCTCCTGACAGCCCGAGCGACGAATCAGTCAGTAGTCCAATCCTCGAAGCGGACTACATCTTTCCCGGGCCCTTTGCAACTTTCCTGGAAGAGGACCTCAGTGGATTATCCTCACTGGAGGCCATATCTACTCCCTCATCCACGGACGGGGCCGCAGATCTCCCAAGCTTCAGTCAGGAAGATATTTTCAACGTATCCGAAGAGCCCCTGCAGATAATAGAGGACTCGGAATCGGGAGTCGGGGAGGAAATTGGGAGCATAGACTCGTCGATTCCCCCGGGAGGGAACTTTTTGTCACGCAGTCGTCACGGGGACCAGGAGCGGCGCCGCTTCTCGGCCTCGGAGCTAATATCAAGACTTCAGCTGTCTCAGAGGAAGAACTCCTTCACCCTGAAGCTCGGGAAGTCCCTGTCCGCTCGGGTGGCCTCAAGGGACAGACAGAGCTCCAGCAGCCTCAGCCCCAGCTCGGACTGTGAGTAGACTGTCCAGCCAGTGAGATGTTTATTAAGAGGTCAATCAGACCAGGACTTAAGGAGGCGACGACCAAAAATCAGCAACAAAGTACAGAAAATATGCATTCTGAGGGATGAAGCTCCATTCTTTCAAAATAAATATTTCCAAGAATTGTGTTAATAGTGGCGTCTTAATGATGAAGCCCCCTTTACTCAGCCCACTGTTTTTGTCCGAAACCATCACTATCTGTTTGAGAAACTCCCTCAATGTCGTACTTCTTGAGCCCGAATGGTTGTATGACAAGAAAAAAAACAATTGGCTTTGTAATGTTACGGCCCAGTGACAGATTTTGAGAAATGCTTAACCAATAAAAATGCCAGCAGTCACTAAAACGCACTGGAGGTGAAAAATAGCTCCAGCTCCAGCTCTCTGTCAGTTTTTGTTTGGTAGATTGACTCACTGCAGCTGGCAAAAGATGCTGTCCATAAATCTTTAAAACCTAGATACTAAAAACCTGTTTTGAATGCATAGAAAATAACAAGCTCAGCAGACAAAATCAACGTAATCAGTGAAAACAGGATAAACACTATAACTCATCCCTAATCGAGCCAAAAGATTACCTCAAATTTGGCTTATGATCATGATGCCACGCCGCAAAGCTGGCAGTCTTCAATCCTTTTATCCACCTTCTCACTTCTAAGGTGATAGAAATGTCAAACATCTGCAGAACGGATTTCAGGGAGTGGCTCCTGCCACTAAAGGAAAAACATGACTCATTCAGTAGTTTTAGGTTACTTTATTGATTGGTATATTCCTGGTATGTGTTACATCTTGTTTTGTTTCCTCCACAGATAAGCCAAACTCCAGGCACCGCAGCTCTGGAGGCTCCAGTGATGGGGACCCCCACAGTCCTGTTGGTCTGCCCCCTCCACTGCCCAGCAGTGACAACGGGATGACCTTACACCGTTGGAGCACGAAGCTTGGGTAAGAAGTAACCAACAGAAACAGGTTTTCTACACCAAATCTGTAAAGACATAACATCTTGTGATGATCTGCTTTCACATTTTCTTCACAGAATGCGCAAGAAATCCATAGAGGAGGACTTGAGCATACTTCCATCAGTTCACTGCTCAAATCGACTGTCGCGTTTTTTACCAAGTTGTATGTTTGCCCCAATTAAGTTCTCCTTTGCGTTTAGCCATTTGGGTCAAGTCTTGCCAGGTTTAATCTGGAGCTGTATTTGTTGATTTTGCAGCGATCCTGTACCAGGAGTACAGCGACGTCGCCATCAACAGAGAGATCCAGAGACAGCAGGGGAAGGAACCGGGCACGGAGGAGGAGGGGCTCCGGGACGAAGGCTCGGACGGGACACCGTCGCCATCCAACCTGTCGCCGTCCAGCTCCTTTCGCTCCTCCAGAGGCTCTGCTTTCGCACTCTGGCAGGACATACCAGATGTCCGAAGCAGCGGCCGGCTCGACAACTTCAGCAACGAGGAGAGAAAACTGCAGGAGGTGAATGAGATGTCAGTCTGTCTCTTTATTCCCAGGGAAGGAGCAAAGAGTTGAGCACAGGTAGCCTTTTCCTGAAGGTGGCACACACTACGAATAGAAAGAACAATGAAAAAATGCACGCTCTAGCCTACCTGAACCCAACTAAAATCCACATCCAACCCCATCAAATTCAAGGGTTTAAGTAATTCAAAACAAACACACATGATGCTACAGATAACTGAGAAATTAGATTGTTGGTAAAAAAAATCACATAAATGCCTGGGATAGATTTAAGTACAGCAAAATGGCTAAAAACTGAAATGATAAAAGAATACTTAGTAACCATAAAACATAAAAAAAGTTAAATCTACTATAATCTAGACAAACCACACAGTAAAAGAAATACATGAAGAACAAATACACAGTTTAGATGTTGTGTATGATAAGAAATAGACAATTTTACCAAGAAATAAGACAATCTATACAAACATGAGCCGAGAAATCATCATGTGTAATCTAAATGTAACAGACTCTCTGTGTGACTGTGACAGCTCTTCAAACACAGTTTTTTTCCCACTCCAGGCAAAGTTTGAGCTGGTGACGTCTGAGGCGTCGTACATTCGCAGTCTCACCATCGCCGTGGACCATTTCATGCTGTCCCAGGAGCTCGCGGACTGTCTTGGAGCTCAGGATAAGCAGTGGCTCTTCTCAAAGCTGCCCGAAGTCAAAGATGTCAGTGAGAGGTGAAGTGATGTCCTGCTGATTGTCTAAAAAAGGCCCCTCAGATACTAGTTTTCCCTCTCTGATCGTACTTTCCCCAAATGCTTCGTCTGTAGGTTCCTCCAGGATCTGGAACACAGGCTTGAGGAAGATATTCTCCATTTTGATGTGTGCGACATCGTCATGGATCACTGTCCAGCTCTACGGAGGGTTTATTTACCTTATGTAACCAACCAGGCTTATCAGGAGCAGACATATCAGCGGCTGCTGTGAGTAATTATTGTTTTGGCTGTGATTTCCATGCGTTATCTACTGGAGATCTGAGCACACACCGTATATAAAGTCCAATTGTTGTGCGCTGGATGTCCAAAATATCCTGTGGGGGTATTCACAGGTTACATTACACCTGCATGACTTAACTTGCAGGTGGCCCATCTCGAGTGAGCTGAGCTTTTTTTTTTTTTTACTCGGTGAAAAGGAGGCTGGAATTTTGATTCACTTTCATTAAAAGTAATTGAGAGTTGCTCTAAATGTCCTCGTCTCGTCCTCTCAGGCAAGAAAACCCGCGTTTCCCAGGCATCCTGGCCCGCTTGGAAGAGGACCCCATCTGCCAAAGACTTCCGCTGACCTCTTTTTTAATCCTCCCGTTTCAGAGGATCACACGGCTTAAAATGCTGGTGGAGGTACACGATCAAACACTCAATGCAGAACTCATGCTCACACATAACATACCGTTCTCCTTTTTCCATAAGAACGTGTGACGAAAAGTATTGTTTACTCTAAACCCATCTGCAAAACCATCTTTATTTTGTCAGAATATCTTAAAGAGGACAACACCAGGCTCCCGAGATGAGGACACTGCTACGAAAGCTTTCAATGAGCTAAAAAAGGTGGTGATTATCATCTCTAATAGCCAGTTGGATGAGTTCATGTATAACAGTCATACAGTAATAAGCATGTTGGTGTGTGTCTTCTTAGATCATCAAAGAATGTAATTCCAGTGTGCAGTCAATGAAGAGGATGGAGGAACTCATCCATTTAAACAAGAAAATCCACTTTGAGGGCAAGGTAACTGAAGTTTTGGCTGTTGTTCTTTTTACACTTTTGTGTGAAAGTTTTCATGTTTCGCCTGTGATATATTTCTTTGCAGATCTTTCCTCTGATCTCTCAGTCCCGCTGGCTGGTGAAACACGGCGAGCTGTTGGAAATGGACACTCAGACGATGAGTATATCTGGATCAAAGCTCAAGCTGCCCACAAAGCCTGTGTACCTCCATTTGTTCAATGACTGCCTGCTGCTGTCCCGGAGGAAGGAGTGAGTGATACATGTGCTCCTTTAAGACTCGCAAAAAAACAAACAAACCCTGAAACACGTTGGATGCTTTGTTCGCCACTTGTGTGTTGTTATTGCAATGATTTCTGTTTGGTCAGACATCATCAGTCTGAGCGATAAAACACAGTTTTTATTCAATTGTAACCTTTCTAGATTATACATACCGTTAATTTGCTCGTTTTTAGTAATTTATTTTTTCTATTTTTTTTCTTACCCTTTATTTAGTTTGAGTAATAGGCAACAGGCAGAATTAGATCAACCTTTTAGCCTATTTTCTCCCCCTCATGGCCACTAAGGGCCTCTGTGACTTTCAAATAAAACTTTTCATATCTATCTATAAGTTGAGGGCAGTATATTTATAAATATATACTTTAATATATAATGAACAATGTCAAAATGTTGTTGTGTCACTCACTTATTTTGGAGATTTGATTCGAGTCAAAAAGTTCACACCTCCTGGATAGAAATCAAGTGTGATGAATGAACTTCCAGCATGAGCACACATCAATTTGAGCTCAAATGAAGGACCTGAGTCTGTTTTTCTCCTCATATTATTAATAACATTGGCTGAAATACAGCCTTATTTAATTAGAAGTGATAGTTACACCAGAATCTAAAGAAATTATTCATTGGGTCCTAACACCCGTTTGCACCAGATTTGAAAGTTGAGCCACTGACCTTGATTTTGACCATGAATAAACAGAGTTTGTGCCAAACTGGATTAAATTCCCTCAAGGCTTGTCAGAGATATGGCAGTCACAAGAAAAGGCTCGAGAGAGACTCAGAAACAGCCTCGACACAATGCATTCACCTGTGGCTACGGCCGAAACAAAAACCTCTAAAGGATTACACCGGGTACCTTTGTTGACACCCTGTTGACGGTAAGATGACGTCTTTCCTTTCCAGTACGTGGAAGTTCATGGTGTTTGTACACGCCAAGATTGGGGAGTTGAAAGTGAAGGATCTCGGTCAGAAGCTGCAGGGCATCTCAGGCTTCATCTTCCACCTGCAGCTGTGTGAAGGCCAGCAGCTCAAACATCAGATCCTGCTCAAGTCCCACACCGAGTGAGTAACGTCCCCTCTGTCCAGCCACTCGTCCGCGGCCACTCTTCAGGTCAATCTAACTGCCCTCATTGGTTCTGTGCCCATCAAGGAGCGGGAAGCAGAGGTGGATCACTGCCATGTTCCCATCCGACCCACTTGAGGACATTGAGCAAGCCAGTGAAAATGAGGGTGAGTAGATATCACAGGTGCACAATTAATCAGTGTAAATCCCTCATTCAAACGTCTTCTAATGTTTCTTCCTGTAGATATATCCCAGGTTCAGTGTATCAGAAGCTATCAGGCCCAGGAGCATGATGAGTTAACGCTGGAAAAAGCCGACATTCTTCATGCAAAGACCATTACGAGTGATGGTAAGAGATTGGAATTTTTTTTCATATAAACCGTATCCAGCCTTAAACTTGAACCTTTATCAAAGCAGCTCATGTGCATACAACGTGTAGTTGTGGGTGTGACGGCTAAGGGCTTATGTGTCTCGCCAGGCTGGGTGGAGGGCATCAGACTCTCGGACGGGGAGCGGGGCTGGTTCCCCAAATCTTACGTGGAGGAAATCACAAGCCGCAGCGCGCGCCTCCGCAACCTCCGAGAAAACATCCGCATCAAATGTGTCACACAGAAACTGAGGGGGGAAGATTGACCGTATTTAACTGCAAGCAAGTCCATCTGGCAAATGGGCACTTGAGCATTTTTAAGCTTTGGGACTTTTGCTTTGGACTTATCTGGATGTGGGGCTGGTGTGTAGCATGCAGGTGCTGAGACAAGCCAACAGTTTTAATCGTTCTTTGCATGTTTCTAAACTCAGCAGCTTAATTCAACAAGCTAGAGCGAACGCAAGGCTTTTAATGCAAATATCACATTTTAGTTTAAAGGAGTTTTTGAAACAATAGCTTGTAGACATCTAAACATTTCAACACTTCGACTGAATTCTTAAAAGTTTTAGTGCCGATACTTTATGCTTCACCTGAACAGCCTTTCAGTTCCATTTAAAAGTTTAGTCAGTTAAATAAGACAAATGATGGTACCATTTCCCAAATATGTAAGAATCTCCACAAGACTGTCCTGAAAAGTACACTGGAGATCTGTTCATGTATTTAGAAAAAATACATCCTGCTGTTGGAAAATGCACTGCAGGTCATTTGTTTTATGTTGACAAAAGCATAAAACATGCCGCTCTATAGTTTACATGTTCAACAATAATTTACAATAGAGTGAGAGGAAGTCCCTGGTTTGGTTATTTTAATAAGTCTGAATCTGCCCAGTCACACATTGATGATTTCAAGTCAGTCGGCAAAGTCCAGATTTAATTCATCCTTCCATGCCTGGGGCATAATTATCTGTTCAAAATCTGTTTTCAGCATCTATAACCTCTGATTAAGTTCCCAGATGGCGCGTTTGTTAATCATAAGCAATGTGAGCTGTTGTTTTGAGTCAGTTTCACTCACACCATCCTGCTTTGTAAATATTAACCAGGCTCCAAACATGTAGCAGTTTGCTGAAAATGGCCCCCAACCAATGCACTATTTCAGACTGTTTGGATTTAATTTAATGGGGGGGGGGGGGGAAAAAAAAACAAAAAAATTAAAAATTTTTAAAAAAAAAAAAAAAAAAAAAAAAGAGTAATATTTTGTGCCCTTTAAAACAGGAAATCTGACAGAACTAAATTTTTAGCACATTGCTATGAACCATGTAAACCATGCACAATCTACTTCAGCCAAAGTAATTCAGCGTTGTTTGTCCCAGTTTAACACCGGGAGTTAAAGGAGTCTGGAGTTCTTTACGTCACATTTGGGGCAGAATGTAACGGTGCCATCACACGCAAAGCACTAAAACTTTTAGGTCATCTTCCTTCGCCTAGTTTCCCCCGGTCAGTGTGAAAATCCCCAAACGATTGAAGGCGCAGTGTAACTGAGCTGAGACCTGTTGTTGATGGACCACTATAATCACCACTCAAGTGTAAACTCTTCCAGTGGCACATGACGTATTTTGACCCCACTTTTTTTCTATAGTGAATTGTTAGATGTAATTTAAATGGTTGCTGCTGCAGCATGTGTATTTATATTCCTCTAGATTCTAATGTAAATGTATTTTACTGTAGATGGCTTCCTGTATAAAGAGTAGTAGAGTGGTTCATTTATGAGTGTAATTTATATGAACAAATATTTTACAAATACAGATACTTACATTTCATTGGCCTAAACTTGGCAGTTGGTTTTAAGCCTGATGTCACAATGAGTCTAAACGCTGTCACACACTGGATGTTTCGAGGGTTTCTGCACCCTTCTGTAAATGTTTAACCACTGAAATAAACAGAGATACTTACATCATGTTGTATGTGATAAAAAACCAGTTTATTGATGAAGATCTACATACAGTTATATACATGTTTTTTTGGCCCCATCCTCTGCTCTACATCCTGTGCCCTGGTCTTATACTGGGTCATGCCCTCATTTCCGTTTGTGCCCACATTAGAGGGCTATAAGTATCCTCTAAGCTCTTCCTATTGAAAAAAAACACCCAAATATATCGAAATTAGGGTGAGAACATTTTCTCTCCACTACCTTTCCATAATTGAGGCACACATCACTGCAGTACGTACATTATCCACATGCTTTTAGATTGATAATTACATTGCATTGTGAAACTTTTAATCAGCTCCGCCCGTTGATGTGACACTGGTCAGCTGCTATGATCGGCTTCTCGGACTCCTTCCTGCACCTCCGAAGCTTTGGCACGATGGGGGGAGGAGGGCGGCTTACAGTAACGTGGCTACTTCGATCTGGCTGCAGAGAGCAGAGAAAATCAAATTCCTGCAAAGTTGTTTCACATTCCCAGTTTCACCAAGCTGTGTTTCCCTCAGGTCAGTCCTCTTCTACATTTAGTCAACTGTCTCACATCATAACAGGGGGGGGGGGGGCAGTCACACACAAAGCCATCCCAACAGCACAACATTCAAACCAATATAAAGAAACAAGAAAAAGAGTTACTAAAGACTAATAAGTGTCCGAATGAGCATAGAAATGTATCAGGAGACTGACCATCTTTTCTTTACAATTCATTTTCATGCAACAACGGCAAAAGAAAAGTATAAACAGAACTGTAATGTTCTTCCTTTATTCCCAAACATGTTTCTTTTCATCACAAACCAAAACAGCTGGAAGAAGCCAATCAAGAAAATTACACAGAGAAAATGCCTTCAGTAAAGAGACCATATACCCGTGTCGGTTGCTTATAGGCAAACCACCTGAGCTAGAACATGCAAATCAGCCATTCGGTGGGAACCCAATCTGGTCATTTCACTTCACACCTCTATTCAAATTCAAATGTTGGTCCTGCCCATTCATTTCCTGGACCCCTGAAGACATGCGTGACTTTCAAACATGAAACTGTCTAACCTGTTGTAGGTGAAAGATCCAGGTCTGGTAATCCTCCAGGCAGATGCAGGAGACCTGCAGGGGCTCCACCAGCTCACCTACCCCCCAAAACAGTGATTAAAAGAGGTCACCACACTGTATTTCGCATATTCAGGCTGGATCCTCCTAAATGATGATCTCAAACGTGCACCATTTACCTATGAGTTCAAACTCCAGCCGTCCAGGAAGGGAAGAGCGCTCCACTGCTTTGATGCTGTGTCTGGCCAGCCTGCCCTGTTAGAGATGAACAGAATAAAAAAGGTTCTCAGGGTTGCATTGTGCAGGCACATTAGCGGAATCACACATTAATGATTCAATTAAGCTGCTCGGTGGAAAACATCCAGCAGGTTTTAGCTACAAAAACCTGCCACGCGTTCTTTGTGCCATGTGTCAAAATAAAAAAACACCACATAATGAAGAGCAGGACACAAAGTTGGACCACAGTGGTTGATGATGATGTGTCATTACGGAATTTTCTCAGTGATGTTTCAAATTACCTCATACTTTATATTGAGACGCATTCTGTCAACAGAAAGCAGCAGGATGTCTTGAGGAAAGAGAACCATCAGTCTTTCCTGGAGTCCCTACAGAACAAAGCCATCGATATCTGCGTTAGTGAAATAAACTACAGTATGAATGCACCTGGAAACTAAAGCTGTTTTCTCCATCACGCTCTGTGGCCACTGCTATAATGTACAGAAGGACCAACTTACATTTGGCTTTAATTACTGCAGTAAATTTAAACTTGTGCCTTGTTCTTTGTGGTTTGGGCCGTACCCAACCACAGCCTCCACATTAATGCTGAGATATGCAAATAAAAGAAGTCAGAGAGGGCAACAAAGTGAGCAGAAGTGGAGCAGAAGGCATTTTTCTATGGAATTTCAATTTCCCCCCACAGACAAAGGTTTATTGGAAACCTAATAAAGCGGCATTTGTGTATCTAATTGCCATGTTTTTTTGCCCTATAACATTTTGCAGAATAAAAACATGTTTGAACTCAATTAAAACTGCTGCTGTTGAGTCAGATTGTTCTGTTAAACAAAACGAAATCAAATGGTGGTAAAAACCACATCATCATTTGCTGGGTAAAAGAGCATGCATACTCTTTCAGACCTATTTCTTAGCAACAGAAGAGGAAATGCGGGATATGTGGTTAGGGTTTTTCAACAGAACTAAAATTTTAAAGTTTATCTGCACTCACATGGTAAACACTGGGAGGACAGGGTTTAAGGCAGATTTTTAAATGATGAGACATGTTAGAGATGAATATGCTAATATATAATGATTCCATTTAGAAGTTACCCAGACAAGTCACAGTGTTAGAAGCAGGTTTGCAGCCACGTCTTTTGTCAATTTGTTGAATTTCTTTCACCGCAAGTATTGTTGCAAAGCAGGCATGAGGTGAAAAACCCAGAAGTAAAAACCAAAAAGCTTAAAAATTAAAATAGCCCCAAAAGCAAAACATCTTAGGAGAACTACAAAACAAGAGGTCAATTCAGAGACACAAATCAATTACAAAAAAAAAGACATGTCAGTGCTTTCGTGTGTGTCATAAATTTGGCTGAAATGTGTGCATACAGAACCTGAATGACTAATTTGGGCAATCATAATTCGACATCTGGTCCCCTCAGAAAACCAACACAACAAACCCAAAGCGATTAAAGATGGGTCCAGAGAGAAATTAACTACCTGTCTCTGTGTGTTGATGATATGAACAGTGGATAGGTATCCTGGGTGACCCATATGCTGAATGGGCGAACCTTCCCACTGCCATATTGGAGCTTGCAGTAAGTAATTTTTCAGCTCCTCTCTTTTCCAGTGTTCATCACATGGTAACTAGTAGAAAGAGACGTGAGGAGAGAATTAACTGCAAATGAAGCTTGCTACATTTTAAGCATAGATGTACGCAGATTTCCTAGAGCTCATCATTACAAGGTAGGAGAGAGCACAATGGGAGGGACTCAGAGGTTTCATCTGGGACTTGTATCTTCTGTCTTCTATGTGCTGCATCCATTTCTGTAACTCGGCAGCGCTAGAACATACGAACACTTTTGAGTCCACCACTGGACCTGGATGAAAGAGGGAACAGCATAAATCATGCTTAGTGCTTTACACTGTGCTGCCACAGGTTAGCTGAACTGGGTAGTTTCCACTGACTCACTGCTTATCTCAAACATGTGTGGTGAGTGGGATTCATCAGAGTTCAGGGAGATGGCCTGAAAGGAGAGTCCGGAAAGCGGAAGAATGCCCTGCAACATAAGTGAAGATTGACATTAAGAAATGTACATAATCATCCAGAATGCATAAACTGCCCCTCAGGCATTACAAAAGGTGCTGAACTCAAGACTTTATAAAGGCACTGATGTATTGTCTCCTAAAATTCTCAATGCTTGCTGTTTGTGTGGGCCCCATATTCTGTTTGATGTTTTGTTTCAGGTCTTCAAATATGTTGAAAATTCCCTGGCTCTTGAGGCTCTTGTATGTGCCTAAACTTGATTATGGACACATCTGGACTACTTTTGGCTTTTACATAGGGCTGAGTTATGACACTGGCAAGCCTTAAGGTTGGCCAACGTGGCCAACTTTGTAGTATGGAGATGTGCTTCAAAAGTCATTAAGCAGCTTTGGAGCTTTGCATGGGTTGTGGAAAATATTGTGAGGGAGAGATGTGACCCAAAAGCCAAGAAAATTTAGATTTAAGACGTTTGGTGGAAGCAGCTGCACTCATCCGCATTCAACCCCATCATTGGAGGGCAAATATGAACCAAGGAAAAATGCAGGTGTAAGCCACGTTTGGGCCAAACATTCCTCTCCACGTGTGTGTCTCTTGCGTTTTTCTGCAGGCAGCTCTTTGTTTGATTTCCAGCAGCCTGCTTCTTTAATATGCTGTGTCAGCTTTGTCTTCTCCAAAACACCCAACAAAAACACTCATATCTGTGAGAGAACAAAGCAGTTTCTCAGCTGTCCAAGTAAAGCTGCAGAAATTCTGTCATCGTTCCTGGTATGTTATCTCTCCCGTCAGCATCTTTAAGCAGAGGTGTTGCAGAAGTGGACGGCGTACCTCATATTTAAAATCCTGTCTGGAGTGGTCCAAAGAAAGGATCAACAGGTGGAAGTAGAACAATACCAGGAAGTGTTCAGTTGTCTCCTGTGGACACAAACATAAAGAATAATAGTTGTGGTTTAGCTGTGCTCTGTCTGGTAAGTCACTTATCTTGCTGCATATCAATGATTTGGCTTGAAATGGCCTTCTGCTTTTGTGTAAACAGCTAAAGATGTTAACCAGAAGTTTGCACGACCAACAGGTGACTATAAACACCAGTCAAACTGACTTTTTTGTGTTTTTTAAGGATTGGCTGCTCATTGAACTGATACTCAACCTTCCAGCTGAATCTTCAGGATGTTGCCATATTACCTGTGTGTATTTGTTGTAGAAAGACACCAGGGAGGAGTGTATGATCTCTCCATACATGTGGGCAGGTTGGCCTTCCCAGCCCCTGATTGGCTGCTGGGAGTAAATCCTGTGATGTAGCTCATCTCTGCTACGGCCCCACACCACCACCTAGTGACACAAAAAGCATGAGCCCATGTCTGCAGACAGTTGTGCACGTTTATTTTTGGAGCATTTTCTGTTTAATGTATAAACTCGCAAGAGAACTCTTCTTCTAAGCGTCCTGGTTTAACCCGCTCACCCAGTGTGAGTCGGCCGTTACTCAGCAAACGTCATGCAAAATGTGCCAAACTAGGTCAGCCTCTCATCAAAGAACTTAGTCAAAGTAGACTTTGTGTGAAGCACGTGGTTGGCTGTGAACGTTCACATCTTTTTTTTTCATGTTTCTATAAAAGTGTGTGGAAACTCATGTTTTTTTTTTGCCACAGTGTCTCATCCCAATTTTATTTCCTGTAAAGTTTGAATCACAGGCAATGCAAAATGTCTCACTTTTGTCATGGAAACTTCTGCAGCAGTGTGTCTGGCCGCAAAACAGATAAAAGCGGAAAGTGTAGACATATACGAGCTTACACCTTTCTAAGTCTGCCGGAGCATCAAAAGCATTGAAGTTGCTACTCAGACTCAGCCACATGATCGGGCTGCAAAGCATACTATATCTTACAGAACACACACACACACAGAGCACAGGCGATGAGCAACCTCTTGTTCCAGGTGTCGTACAGAGAGTTTGTGTGGTGGAGGTGGCGGCGGTGGCAGCTGCTGCTCATCACTACTGTTTCTCACTGTAAGCTGAAGTTTCGTTTCTCCTAGACTCCATATCCTGAAAACACACACACAGGCAGCACAGATATTGACATATAGAGAAAAAAAAAGAGCCATGTAGCTGTTTCTGGGTTTAGTGCACAGCAGCTCAGTGCTTTTCGTGGTCGTTTTTCGTTGGTCTTTTTTATGTACAGATGGGGGTTTAGGTCCAGGGTTTCCTTTGCTGAAGTGACCGTATGCTGGCCTTTAATTCAGGACTACAGTTTTGAATCTTTGAGAAACAAGTCTGTGTTCTCCACAGGCAACAGGAAGGTGAATTGGGAATGAACAGCATCAGGGTTCAGTGTGAATGACATGTCTGCCTCCCTCCTGCTAACCAGCGGCAGCCAGACATAATCAGATTAAAATAGTCAGAGGGAGATCAGACCCCCCCCAACATGTTCATCCCAAACTGCCAGACTTTGTTGCCTTTGTACTTCACAGAACTATGGGGTATATTTATTTTACTTAAGTTCAGTCTAAAAAACATCCTCAAATACAATCACAAACAGCTTCACAACTGCAAGGTAAAACTCAACAGCCTTAGGCCCTGTAGAGTAGAGACTCCACCAAAAAAAGGCTCATTATATTATTGCCAGAGTTCCATTTAAATAAACCCTTTAAAAAGTAGTATCACATGAACATGAGTCAAACTTATAAGTCAGTTTTACTGACTAAATCTATTAATACATTAGTTTTAGTCATTGTTAGAGAGGGCAGCTCTGAATGAGCCTTGCTGAGGTAACATTTGGTTTTAGACTTTGAACAGCGCCCTGCAGGATTAGCCAGGTAAAGATGCAATATTTCTCTCTAATATGCCAGATCAGTATTACTTACATACATCATTTATAGCAGCCTGACACCGACTTTGTAAATGAATTTTTACAATTATTGTTTGTTTTGTTCGCTTCAGCTACGTGAAACACTGACCCTCTGAAACAACCTTTTGTTTCCCTGTGACGTTCAATTCCCCACACGGAGAGTCATGTTTATCTTATCACTGACAACATCCTTTTTTCTGAGTTTGTTCTTTTTTGCGCGCAAAATGGTCAAAACCTGCTCACGCAGTGTATTTTACACACAGAATAGCTGTCAAGTGTGAGCAAAACTGTGGCACACACACAGACACCCACAGAGCACACCCACAGTGTGAAAAAGGACTCATATTTGTCTGTTGCAGAATCCTGTAATAAGCCATATGTTGCCAATAGAAGTACTGCTTAAACAGCCACATATGAGGTTTTTGCTCTTGTTTGTGATTAACCTCTTGCTAATCCCCATGCCCTAAAGTAAGCGAGGATTTGTCCCGCCTTTGCGCTGCGTTAAACCTCTCCACGCTCCTGCCGTTGTCTTAAATTAATCTGTTAATCACATCAGTGCAGCATCACTAACTTCCCAAGTTCATGTTGAGTAAATAGGAGCCAATTAGTTCTCCCCTCTGTTTGTTCTGCTCAACTCTGATGGGCAGGAATCCTGCGGATGTCACCCGCTGTTGGGATGGGGATGTTTCCTCCCTTCAGAGCCTCCATCAAATCCTGGCGATGTGAAAATAAGCAAGCACAAACAGGCATCCTACTAAAAGTTCCGGAATTTGCTGCCACACTGGAGGGAGGAAAATATAAAAGAGCTGCTTTACAGTGAAGCCCTCCTGTGACATACGAAATGCCACCGAAAACCACAGGAGTCCTCTTTTTCACTTCAGAGACCGCTTCCTCCTCACAAAGCCACATTTAAACATCTGAACAGACCTAAAAGTCACATGATTTAGATGTATAATTTAAATTCACATTTTTAGATTAGACCACCCCTGTGTATTCATGTCCGACCCCATTTCAATTGTAATACATTTTATAAAGCTCAAAATGCAGTCTCAGGTGCATGAATTTGCCTTCAGTGTCTTTGTATTTTTAACAATCATTAATCAGATTTAAATATAAAACTTTGTTTCTTACCCTAAATTGTCCCCCGAGAGTTCCAGGAGTTCAATTTCATCAGGCCCCACTTCATCCACTCCAGTATGCCTCTGGGTAACGCTGCAGCATCCCATGACCAACAAGGAGTCTGTCCCCTCTCGTCCAGACTCGTCTCAGCCTCTCCTCCACGCACTGAGCACCATCTGCCGAGGCAGTGATCCAAACGGTTTGTGCGTGCGCCACATTAAAACCAGAGAGATAACGTGAAAATGGGGGGTGGAAGGGGTTTAAAAGAGGATATTGAAAGGAGGAGGAGGCATGGTGGCAGGGCTCGAGTTCCTCCTTTTTGCCAGCATGTGCATTTCCATAGAGCTCTGAGGGACAGCAAAGGAATAAACGCAACAAAACGCGTTGGGTAGAAATTGAAGATAAAAGTGCTAAGCTTTTGTTGAGTCGCGGCGTTGCAGTTGTTCCTTCCTTCCTGTCAGTTGGGTGTCTGCAGAGGATTGAGCAGCTTCCTCTGTTTGGTTATTTTACTCTCTGAACCTGCTAATGCGTCAACGTGACGAGTAAAAACCATCCGTGTCGTTCCTCCGACGCAAAATGACCAAATGAGGGCTGAAAAATGTTGCACCTCTCTCTGTTGATAACCCAAGCTGCCCGGTGTCCTCAGCCTCCTCACCGATGAAGCATGTGGGTGAAGAAATCATCCTGTTGCGAAAGATGTGACCATGTCTGCTAATGTGTGTGCGGTTGGACAGTCAAGAGAGATAATTATGACTTAGTACACCAAGAGGTTAAGGACTACAGTCAAAACAAGCTGCAACAGCTGGGAAGTGGAGCGCCGTGTTAATGTTCTTGGCAAGAAAAACTAGAAAAGCCAAGATAGTTTTTCACATAATCTGCCATTTCTGTACAATGGTGCAACTTGACGTGAGAGAGATGACTGAAGGATGTTCTTTTATTTGATAAACTAACTGTGCTCAAAGGTTCCCAAATACTTTCTTTAATAAAAAATGATTGATAAAAAGGATAAAAAATGGATAATTGCGGCCCATTTCCTCTTTATTGGTGCCGTCTGAAACATGCGTCTGATGTGATCTTTAGCCTTTAAATGATCATGCTGAGCTTGAGTCCATCTTGAAGTGTTGGTGTTGTTACCCCTGACAGGATGGGAGTAGTCTCTGCTGCTGAGCAAATACCAGGGTCCTCGAGCAGATAAAGTATTTAAATGGAGAGCTTAGGTCATGGAGGTGGTGTTGATACAATGGGCAGACTTTTAATGATTCATTTGCTCACCATTTGGTAAAACATTCACAGAATTATCAGGGAATGATGACACACACATGCCCTCCACCCCTGACTTCTGCCACCTGGATTCAGTTATTTGGCTCTTGTTGGTGGTCTTTGGGTAGCACACACGGTTTGCATTCCTGTTGCCGTTGGCCTGTGAAGGACCAGGAGTCAAAGCTCCATCGTGCAGAAGCACAAACTCCCTCTGAGCAGCCAAAGGCAAGATTCTGTTTCTGAGGCGACGCTTGTTGAAGATCTCCAGAGTTAAATCTAAAGAAAAGCAATGGTGGAAAGAGAAGTTACATGCTTTACTCATTTAAATCATGTGATTACCGTACTGACGTCAATGGGTGAGTATTACTACACAGTAACAACACACTGAGGAATATAAAGGGTCAACAGGTTATTCATGAGGAATAAAAAGTTCTTGATGCTTAATCTTAAATTGATGTGATAAAGAATTAACTCAATGTTTTAATGAGAGAAGACGTTTTAGAAATTCAGTTGAGTAAAATCTACAATATAACTGATAAATCAACCTGAAATTAAATAGTCTTGTTTGTTATTTTAAACTGCTAATCAGCAGCCCCTGAGTAAATGAAGAGAAGATAGAAAAGTTGTAGATGGTTTCACACCTCAGTTGTTGAAGTCGATAAAAAAATAAAATACATCACACATTTAAGCTACCAAACCGCAGCTGTAGGAACAGTGGAAAAAACTGCTTCGCTCAAATGTCAAACACAAGCTCACTCTGGTCTCTGTTCTGCGGTATGTGTTGATGATGGCGATACGAGGCCTGAACTAACCCATTGTCTCTGCAACCGTGCTGGGTATCACCTCCTTCAGCACCTCACAGTTTGTGTGGAGAGCTGGGTTACAGTTCATCTCCAACAGCCATACCTCAAACGACCACATGGAGACACAATTAAAGCACATAGTAAGCACAAGCCTTTCCTTCGGACAGTCTGAATCCCACCTTGAAGTCCTCGTCGATCATGAAGTCACAGCCAATCAAATCAAAGAATCCCAAACGGCAGTCCAACTTGGACTTGACCGCGAAGAAGCACTGGGTCATGATCTGCTGCATGCGCTTCTGGTAATGCGTGAAGGAAAACAAAGTTATATCAGTCACACAAGAATTCGCAAGGGGAACAGAAAGACATAATATGGTGATTAGCCACAATATCAACAAGTTTAGATCATCCAGTGTTGACGAAGTGCATACCGGACATTGTTCCAGCACCTTCTATCTGTAACCCCTTGGCGAGTGACCCAGCAGGATTATATCTCCCATCTCAACATTAAAAAAATAGCTGAAAATAGCTCCCCTGAGATGCGTCAGACCTGTCAAAGCCTCAATGTGACTGCAGTAAGATCCGGCAAATGATATCAAGTAAAAGTCTGAATTATTGATGATGACTTTGCTTTGGACTTAGAGCGTAGCTAAATAAAAAATGCTAACCCAATGACCCGTTTGCCTTAATAAACACAGCAGGTGCCTTCTGAGAAAAGGAGACACGCTGTGGTTAATGTTTAATAGTTAGACCGTTTTTTTTTCTTCTTTCACTTTAGGTAAGGTGAAAAAAAGCCCACCTAAAAACATTCTCTCTGTCAAACTGCACCGGTTTATGAGGATAAACAACGTGTGTCCTCTTTGATTTTAAATTATTCAAATGATAACATGATACACCCCTCAGACGGGAATGAGCTCATGCAAAACCACAATCTTCATTATCTACCAGAGCCAGCGACCGTGCTCAGTAATTGGTCCCTGAGAGCGACAGGGCGCCGCGGCACTCACGGCAAAGGCTCCGAGCACCCAGTCCCTGGGCAGACCCCTGGCAACCTGAAACTTGTCATTGATGTAATTGTTGAAGGCCTCCATAGACCACACAGTGTCCTCCTTCAGCAAATGGTAGAGAGGGCTCTTCTTCTGCATGTACTGGAGAAGGACAGCAGGGGGACCAGAGACACATGAAACAAGCAAGTCAGTTATGGCTTCATCCAGCATCAGACGTTCATGATCCCCTTTGAAATAATGGGCAGAAATATTGTAAAAAATAATATAAATATGTATAAGCTGCAATAGTCTTTTCAAAAGACTAACTATCTAAGTATAAGTAGCCAAAAAGGCTTTTTGATTTTGGTATATTTTTTACTTTTCACCATAATGGATATCTAATCAACAAAGCACTTTAATGTAATTTAATAAAATTGTAAAATTGATCGTTAATTTCTTCCAAATGTTGCTTTATGGAAAGTTTTTGGTTGGAATGATATTAGAAATACACCTAAAAAAAAAAAAAAAAAAAAAGAAATACACCTAAATGTAAATTTCTTATCTAAAGCTGGTAAAAATGTTCATAGTAGTTACTTGAGTGTATTCTGAGTGTAACTGAGTGCAACAAGTCTACCTGATTGGTAAGGTGGGCGGACAGGTTTTTGGAGCTGGGGTTGTAGACGTCACAGGTCAGTCGCACATATCCGTGGCGAAAAAAGATCATGTAAGGGGCAGTGCAGGCGATGAGGAGGTAAGAGCGCACGTCAAACTTTCGGCCCTTCAGCAGCAGTGGATTTTGGATGTAACTGTGAGGAAATTGAGAATCTGCCTTTAAAACGTCAAAAAGTGATCCTCTCCGAATGTTTCCTGAACATGTTCTGGAGTCCATGAATAACAATAACAATTTATGCTGGTTTTTACCTCCTCATACCTTGCATCTTTTATTTATGTTCTATTACTTGTCATTACCCAACGGCACAGTTCAATGGAGCCACAAAAGCTGGTTAGATCCCCCTTTGATCGGTAAATCGTCTACTTTACTCTATCTCCCTTTTAATGAGTGACTCAAAGCCCGTGAAGACTCTTCTCAGGGACATTTGTGGAGACGGGGAAAAAAAAGGTAATTGGGTTCACCCACTCTTGGACGATGTAGGCCTGAGCCCGGCGCTGGTGCGGCCTCCCGCTGACCAGGCTGTCCTCCATGCGCTGCAGCTTCAGTCTGAGGGCGGCCACGTCCTCCGGACCCTTGAGAAGGGAGATGCCTTTGCCCTGGTTCAGACCCGTCGGCTTGCAGATCCACATGTGAGCCTCACTGCTGCTCACAGCTTGCACCGGAAACAAAGCCCCATTCAAATGTTGCCAATAGTCGGTTCAATTAGACTTTTGCCTCCTTTAGTTCTCGCAGTTTATCCCTGAAGCTTATCGATAAATTGTCAGGGACGCCACAATCAACACAAACAAGTTGCCCCACAAGACCTTAAGTAGATAATCACTAATGTGAAGATATACTTAAAGGCATTAAAGGAGAAGCTACTGAGCAGTATGTATAATCCCATTAAACTAGAATCTAAATAGAAGTCAAGATTGTAAAATGCTCTTAAAAGCTTTTCCTGGGACAGGGGTCGACTGTATCACAACCCAGAAGTTCAAAGATATTTTTAAGACAAATTGTTAAAAATTAACCTTGACATGTTTCCTCTTGCGTCTGTGTTCCCTGTCTCTGTCCCTCCTCTGAAGAAAAAAGAATCACAAAACCAAATTATTTCAGATTACGATGAAAGGAGATTGAATAAATAAATGAAAGATTTCAGATGCAACTTTTCTATTCGAACCATTTCTGCTCATATGTAAGAATTGGATCTGTTTCTGACTGTTTTCCTCTTTGAATTCATCCATCACCAAAGATCTAACACAGCTGTCTGCTTCTTCTTTCTGCAGCTTACTCAGTGATAACCATGTTTGTCAAAACCCAAACACCACCCCCTGTAAACGAGACTCTGTCTGTGTGGATGTCAGTGGCAACGTTCATCTCCAGTCTTTGCTTTCTTTAAAAGTGCTTCTGAAGTTTGAACTGAACTTTATTCAGCTTCATCAGCACTGCATCCAGATCCTGCTGAGTGTTTCCCTGTTTGCGTCTCAGCGCTGCCCTCTGCTGACTCGTCTCCATGGCAACAGCATGCTCCCCTGGTGATTTTATCGGAGCCTTATGGGGAGTGAAGTGCCTTATTTTCCAACATCTTGATTAAACACTCACCAGGGCAACGGTTGTCTTAACAGATAGCAAGAACAAAGCTTATCAAGTTTGATCCATCGTGTTGAATGAAGCCCACAAACGGACGACAAATCCAGCCGAACCAGTTGTGTTATATTGTTGCATCATAATACCAGAGTGGGACAGGCCCATGAGGCTGAAAGGTGTTGGGCTGCGTTACCTTCCCGCTGGGAAAAGAAGGCCTCTCTCTCTTCACTCACATCCATGCGAAAGGTGGTGGGGATAAAGTCTTCCATTTTCAGCCTCCTTCAAAGAAAATCATCAAGCAAAAAATATAAAAATAAAGAACAGCCTAATAAATGTGTCAGGTACCTTGAAGATGACTCGAATACAATGTTCCTGTTTCTTAACAGTGAATACACAATGAGATCCCCCAGAGCACCCATTTTTGTGTTGTGCTGCAAAAAACAGAAGTACACAACGTACAGTACCTATTTGAGTGCACTGACTCTCTTTCAGAGCTTTTGGTCTGAATATTTTTTTAATGATTTTCACTGAGCAAAGCAGTTCTATTCACTTGTGTTCCCGTAAAATTAAAATAGAGGAGATAAAATAATGAATGAGTTTGAGACCTGAAAGTGGCTGTGAAACCGTGAAGCTCAAAAACATGTTAGAATACTTTGTTTCTTGCTCTTACACAAAGCAGAAGTTATTTGTTGGCAACCCACTCTACATGGTGTTGGGGTCAAACTATTGAATGTACCACCCTTCTTACAGTTTATGCGTTAACCTAAAAGATCAGTTTGTGAAATATGACTTTTTCTACAGACATTTTATCCTCCAGTTTATATAACTGGCACACAATAAAGTGTCTAGTCATGATTGGTGATGAAAACAGGAACATTTTATCACCGCTGAATAAATTATACTGAAAAGTGTTTTCAGCCCATACCGAGCCTTGATGAAGGCACCGGGGGGGGTGTGATATTTTGAACGATGTTAGCATCTGTAGAGTATTTATTTGCTGGTAAACTGCTCTGGAGAAGAAAAAGGAAGGGAAAGTTGTCCGGTTTACCTGTGTTTACCGTGTTTGATTTTGCTGCCCACTCGCTCGTACTCCCGCAGACTGTTGAGGAGGCCGATCTTGGTGGTGAGCACTTTGTTGTTGGGAATCTGGTACACAAGCTGTTCACCTGCAGAAACAATGTGGAAATGGCAATTTCGGCATAAGTCTCATCTATTTTCTATGGTTTTGCAGTAGGGGGTGAAGTGTCGGGTCAGGGGCTGTGCACACACACTACCTTCTCTGAAGTTGTTGTAGGTCGCTGAAGATTTGGTCTCACACCACTTGAGTTTGAAATCCACTCTGTGCTTATCGTAAATCCTCTGCCATCCTTTGCTTTGACAGTAGCTGGTCACTCTAAAGAAAAGCAAGCACATTTATTCTTCAGTCACATCCTAAACCCGAGGTCAGAGGTCACTTGTAAAGCAAGCTTTTGAGTTATATGATGTATTATAGCGTCATATTACTTGCGCGACCAATCCAACATTTTTACTTGAACTTACATTTCAGCCCCATTGGCTCCTCCAACGAAGAAGAAAGGCCCACGCCCCTGAGGCTCCTCCACCTGCTTCACTATTTTACCTGTCAGGCCCCCCCGTTTGGACCTCAAAGAGGGACTCTCTGCCGTAAGCACAAATAACACATTTAAGATAAACACAGAAATCCATGTTTTTATCCTCCATATGTAGATATTTTGTTGTTGCACTGGAAGATGTAACGTTTCAGTTGTGTTTAACTTATTTTCTTTATTGAAATAGTTGAGATTGGCAGATTTATCTTTTGCTTCAGCAGTGTAAAGATCCATAATGAGGTATGACATGTCTCCTTAAAACTTTTCATTCCTCACACACACCTTTTCCTCCAAGCTGTCTCTTCTGCTTGGAAACTCTCCCTCCCTCCTCCGGGGTGTTTGTCTCCTCCCTCTGGAGCGGGCTTCTTTCTGATGTCACTTCCTGTTTGTCACTGCAGTCAGGTGACAATGGTTGTTCTGTTCCAGGCCCCTCCTGCTTCTGGCTTCCTGCAGGCGGGTTATTTCCACAGAGATCCTCCTTCGTCCCCTCCTTCTCTTTTTCTTTTCCTCGTTGCCTCTCCAGCCCATTCTCCCCACCCTGCCCGTCTCTCCAGAGCTCCATCCAGCACTCAGATCAAATGGCCTTTTCCTGTTGTACATTACAGTTATAACTGATTTTACATGTTTAGAAAATCTTTGGATAACCAATGACTGTGGTGATAAAATGAAGAAAGACATTTGATGCATTTAGTCAAGAATTAAAACAAACTAATGATCTGATGAAGTTGTACAGGAAGAGAAAAACACCATTATTTACCTTCATTATAACTTCCTTTGCTTGACATGTGTAATGCCCCCTAAGCATAGGTTTATAGATTTAATAATTTGGCTGGAACATGTATGGATCAGTGTTACTGTACAATTATCAGTCCAGTTTGTCAAAGGCATGGCAGTTATTGGAGAGTTGCCATCATCTGCTCACGATTCAGACCTTTCATTGTGTTGGTTTGCCGATTCAAACATGAAACACCCCTAACACAGATATTTAAATATGCAAATCATATGAAAATTTTAAAAAATGCGTGTTGGGTCAAGTTAATGTTGTTATAATGAAATGTCAGGTGTCAGCTGAGCTACAACACTTTGTTTTAGAGAAGTGTACCTGCTACTCCTGAGTCACAGCAGACAGTCAGACTCCGAGACCTTTTCAGTCTACTCTCCTTCAGCCATGGGCACTCAACCCTGAAGCCAAACTGCAGACGAAAAGTAAACTCACAGACTTTAAAGTGGTGAAATCACATGGCCTGCCTGCAGTTTTGTCCTCTAAAGTTAGCCAAACTCTCCCTGTGAGAGAGTCTCCCTGCCAAAGCCCTACGACACACTAATGTCAACAGTCACCAGTTACTAGGGTAATGGGACCCTTAGCAACAGTTGCCATTTGTAGAATGAATCTTACAACAGCAGCGGCTCACGACAAACTACCAGCTCAGGATTATGTATCTCTCACCCAACCCGCCCTGTACGTTTAGCTTCATTCAATATTAAATGCCTGTAAGCCTCTGTTTTGTGAGCCTCACAGTAACACTAGAGGAGGGTGTCAATCAGAATCGCTCCGCCAGTTTCTCAGGGTGTTCTATGCTGGCAGAGAAGGTAAAACAATATTTTCAACGAGGTCCGCCTGAAGGATTTTGATTAATGTCTTTTAAATTGTGAAAAATCTGCCAGTGGGAAATGTTTAACTGTAGATAATGTTAACTGGTGTCTTAAACTTGTTTCTTCTATACGGGAGTTCCAATATAGCCAAAAGTGACTGAAATGGTTTATATTTAATGATTTTTAAAAAGTTTGTATCAGTTTACTGAAACTTTCATGACCAGTAGGGGCAAATGAGTCAGTTCTATATTTCAACCCTGAATTCATTTTGAAGAAAGATTGTTCTAATATTAGGGGGTGGGAAATGATCAAAATAAGAACAAAAGTAAAAGGTTAACAGTAAAAGCTAAAGTTTTTATGAATCATAAGTATCTAATTATTGTTTTTTTTTATTGCATGTGGCAAATTTCAGCAGACTTAGACACAAAAGGCTTTAGTGGGCTGTTTCAGATTTGACAGAAAACCATCAAAGTTTCAGAAGGTTGTTTTTGAATAATCCTTCTGTCTGAACGGCTTAAATGCTAATTCATCCTGATGACTCATTCTCGATTCATGCAGACAATATCATTAATCAGTGTCTTTTCCCAAATCCAGTGGCAGGTATGCAGTTGAGCAACATAGCATTTGTCTGCTCGCAGGGCAAATCCACTAATCACCAACTGTCTCAGTGATTTGACTCAGGAGGAAACACCCAGACCAAGCTACAGTGGGCAATTATGCACAATCTCGTCTCTTCCTCTGAACAGCCTGATAATTGACAGGGGTTGGTGCCTCGTAGACCCAGCACCCTTGAAACCATGTAATTATACATCCACTATGAGCAACTCATACAACTGGCTGATGGCTGAAACACACATTCAGCTAAAAGTCTAGTGCAAACAGCATGGTGCGTGTTATCAGATATTTGGAGAAGGAGAACAATGAGTAAGGAGCTGGATGTCTGACTAATTGGGCTCTTTTTTTTTTTAACTGTCTTTTTTTTAAAGACTTCAGAGGTGTAAACCAGCTTGTGATGTGATATGGTCTGGTTCCTCGGCTCATTACGACCTCAGTTGTTTTTCCTTTAGCTTGAGAGCTTTAGTGTGATGAAAAAATTGCTTCAAATTTGATTGAATTTGTTAAATAACACACAGAAATGTAGCGTTTCCTTGAATGTGCTCTATTTGCCACCTGCCAGCTAAGCTGTAAATGTCTGAGTGCAAAATGGCAGCACTCAGAGAGAGCTTCTTTGCAGTGATGCAAGTCCAGCTCCCAGCTCCCCAGTTATTAAAAGCAGGCTTCCCGTACTCCTGTTAAACAGAGCTTTGTGTGGAGCCAGTGTCAGCCACACCTTGATAAAGAGCCGCCATCTGATAGACGCACTGTGCAAAGTGCTGCGTAGGTGGACAAAGAGAACGGGCTTGTTTTACAGCCCTGTCGACCTCATGGTTCACCATCTGCCAAAAGGCTGTACGCATTTGTCTGTTATATGGGAACATTTGACAATGCATATATGCTTGTGTAAATATACAGAAGGTTCATTTTTGTTCTACATATTTCACAGTTTGAAACTTATTCAACAACTTCCTGAATTGGACATGATCCCCATTTGTTGGTCAAACAAGAGAGACTTTGTCTTTGTTTTTCCTTTTCTTCATAAAGGTAATTTTCTATATGTGGTCCTCCTCTGTTACCTCTCAACAGCCTTCTCCACTACTCATGCTTTAAAAACCCAATTTCTGTTTATTCCTTTTTACTCTGTAAAGGTGAAGGACATGGAAAAAAATATCACTAAACTAACATCTAAAGAAAACCTTAGAAATCTCCATAAAAATGAATGTGTGTGAAAACTCGAAGCAGGGTAATGTGCACTGTCTATATTTTGCCATGTATATATCATTATATGTAGAAATAAGTGTGTGCGTTCTTGTCTGTCTGTTTAGGGCTGTTGCACCATAAGTTGTGTGGGTCTTTGGAGACTTGCCCAGTCTCATGTCATCTCAACTGCCTGTTACCAGGAAGTGCTCAGCAATTACAGGGATGCAGCCTGCAGCAAAGGTGTCCCAGCACAACCCATTATTTGGAGGGATTCTCCTTGTCAAGGTGTTATATTGGAAGAAATGGAGTTAAATTACCCTGTGTAGAAAAGCCTGTGTCAGTAGGGCTTCTCTTTCTACTTCTATTCAGGGTATCCATACAGAATTACACCGGTTTAAGGCATGGTGGGGGTTGCTGTATTGGGTGGGTGACATGCCGTTCCCAGGGTCTACATCCCCTCACTCACATGAAAAAGAAAAGACGTTGTAATTCACCGATTCCTGTCCTGACAGTGCTTGATCAAATTTCATCTTCAGATACATTCATTCTGAATGCCCAGCTTCACTTTGAGGTGTCTGCGTTTCATCCTCTTGAATCCCTTCTATCATCACATTTGCACATCTAGCTTATTTTCTGGGCAGCATTTTAAAAAATGGGAAACTCCTGGCTTAACATGATGTTGGTTACGCCCTGTAGAGCTATGAGAAGACACGGGAGGTACATCACTCCATTCTGAGATGGAAAATGACTCACTGGCTACACCAAACAACTCTGGAAAGAGCCTGATTGAATGGACGGAGTTGGCAATACAGAGACCCTCTGGTTTTGGCAGAGCCTTAAAACACCAATTTAAGTGGAGGTGAAAATTCAATTTACCATAGCAGGCCTTGATATTTCTGTATTTGTTTCTGAGTGCATTCAGCTCCTAATGAAAGTCCATTTCGGCACTGTGGAAATATACCAGCTTTTTCTAAAAAAAATAGAGAAAAAAACCCTGATACAGACCTGAAAAAGAAGCAGAAAAAGAGGAGCAATGCCAATGCTTTGGCAGCATGATCATCATTCCTGGGCTGGCTTTTGTGCATCAGCCAGAGAACATTGTCTCCCTGTCTATGTCTGTTAATACAATATAAAGTAAAAACATACAGAACAAGACAGATCAACTGATATGTATATATACTTGGACTTGTTAGACCAGTAAATGAGCCCTAATACCACCACACAGGACAAACACTACAACAGTCCTCAGTGTCCTTGACAGATCTGAAGCCAGACTTTTCAATATTTCTGCTCATGGCCTCATGTTGTTACAGTAGATAGAGCTATGAAAATTTTTTATTAAAAGTGGATCAAAGTCTAACTAGCAGTGTGTCAGATCCTCATTTTTTTACCATGCAGGTGTGACACAGTCGTTTAGTCTTTGTTGTGTTCCCGTTCCACTCCAGTGGCGAACCCGGCTAAGCCAATCTGACCTCCTCATCCTCAGCTGGCAGTGAGGCAGGAATCTGGTCTGACTGCACGCAGCATGCACAGACCAGTGCAGGAATCCTCCACAGGCCCTCTGCCAGCCAGGAATGTGGTTCAGTGTGATGTCACTAAAGCAGAAAGTAACCCAAAACACTTTGTTCGCTCTCTAAAATGTCATTTTACTGACTCAGTTCAACTTGCAGTATAAATCATAAGCGGGTGGTTGGATGATCCATTTTAGAAATTGATAGTCATTAAAGATTAATTTTTATTTAAACAGAAAATATACATTTTCCAAAGCAACATCTCGGCACAATGGTTAATATTTTATTGGAAATACTGGTTAAACTACTTTTTCTAAGTGTGAGATTTTTAGTAAATGAAAATGTTTTTCTTTTTGTTAAAATTGCTCCATATTCACATTAACTAATTCATCGAACAATGTGTGTTACATTTTTCTAAACACTCATGAAGAAATGCCAGACTATATTTTTTCTTATCAAAGGTCAAAAAGAGGTTTGTTTTAATAGTAACATGATGGCTTTACTAGTGTAGAAGAAGACATTTTACTCTGCTTTCTTTTTACTTATTGGATCCATAGAATTTAGTTTTACCCTTAAACTCAATCCATGTTTAATCCATGTACACCTTAAATTATTATTTGACTAAATTATTGTTGTAGCTAATTGTATCGCTTTCTCATAA